GGCGAATTGAGGAATGGTACTCTGGCAAGCGAATTTAACAGCAAGTGCTGGACCAGGTCAGGAGAATCTCACTGTGTCACCTACAGCATTGCACACAGCTGCGTGAATCACGGCCTGTGGTAGTATAATGGAGCAGACAAGTAGCAATAGAGAATTTCAATGCAACTATCGTGATCTCTATTAGAGATCACGAAAGTTGCATGTGAGTCATCAGCTGCTTTTCGACCACGGCCAAGTTGATCATCAACGAGTCGCTGACAACGACCGCTTTTGAATCGTATTGATTTATCAGGCAACAAATTAATGAGTTGCTGTTCCTTGCACATGGGGTCTAGCCTAGACCCGTAGTACAGGCACAAACTCAATTGCTTAGTTTAGTGTGTACCACACAATACCAATAACATTTGCAGTTTGTACCCACTTCTTTTTCTTAAGCAGATCAACTTTCTCTAGTTGTCATGGGTGTGCAGAATCTGTGGGTGTTGCTGGCGCCCGTGGGGCGGCAGATCGAGATAGAATCTTTGGCCGGTCAGGTACTGGCTGTGGATGCCAGTATCTGGCTCACTCAGTTCGTCAAGGCCATGCGTGACGACGAAGGTAACATGATCCGCAATGCGCATCTCATGGGTACTCTGCACCGTGTGGCCAAGTTGCTCTACTATGGGGTGCGTCCGGTCTTCGTGTTCGACGGCCAAACACCGGAGATCAAGAAGAGAACAACCGCCAGACGTAGGAAGAGACAGGAGCAACAGAGCGCCAATCTACGCCATACAGCGCAACGCATTCTACTTAACAGACTGAAGCAGGCTAGACAGGAGATGAAGAAGAACGGAGGAGCATCAGCACCTGCTGTTGCACCTGGATTTACACTACCAGAAGCTTCAAGCAAGAAGGAGGAGGAGGCCAAGACAGAGGTAGAAGCTGAGATTGAAGAGGTAGAACAAGAAACTATCGAAGAGCATGAAGAGAGAAGTGAGGAAAATGGAGTTCAGACGGTCTGGGGGGCAGCAGCAGAACAGAAAGACGAGGAGGAGCTGACATTGGACGATATTGATCTGGACACGTCCAGATTGTCGAAAATCGATCTACACGCGGTGTTTTCACTGCCTCCTCACTTGCAGAAAGATATGATCCAGAGGATTTTACGTGACCGGCGTCAGGAGGTGAGGGATCAATTTATCCCGCTAGCTGGGAATCCAGAGAAATACTCGCATACGCAGATTTCAGCATTTCTACAGACAAGTGCATTGAATCGACGGATTGAAGCAGCGAAAAGACAGAAACGCGAAGAGGAGATGGAAAACCAGGGCGGCGTTGGCCAAGGACATCGCATTGACTCGAATAGTAATCGATTTTACATTTATGAGAACGATGCTAAGCGAAAAGAGGACAAGGACGAAGAAAGTGACGATGTGGTCGCGGAGGTTGAACGAGCCTCTGCCAATGAGGCACTCCAGGTACAAGAGGAACAAAGTGATGCCTTTAAGCCAATGGAGAAGCGACCTCTGTCGGAGTTTAACTCCGGAAAGGCAGGGTTTATTCCTGATCCCAAGGCAAAGGAGGTCACAGCTGCATGGGTCGCACGGCATCAGGTTCGTGTGGAACAGGAGCCTATGCTTGCGATCGAGAAGATCAGACGAGCTCGACTTAAGATAGAAGAACCAACTTCGTCCGCCGAGCCACCTTCCACCGTTGAGGACAAGCCGCTGCCAGTGCACGACGTTAGTGTTTCGTTAAAGCTAGAGGATATTGATCCAGAAGGGATGGAACGTTTTCAGAAAATGCTTCAAGCATCTGCGGGCGAACCTACTGCTGCCACAATTGAAGATGAGGACGACGATGTCCAGTGGGAAGAGGTGACAGCTTCAACCGAGAAGCCTTCGACTATTTCTTTACACATGGAGACTGTAGAGCAAGAGATGGCAAGTCAGGCTTGCAAGGTTGTGGCAATGACTGAAACCTCTACGGCTATACACACGCCAACGTCCAAGGATGTTGAGAAGCCTGAAAGTGATGAGGAGATGGAATGGGAAGACGTACCAAGTGCATCTGTTGATTCTGCCCTCCCCGGTACCAATGGTACTCATGAAACGAAACAAACTGTAATGGAAGACTCTCTATTTGTCACCTCTAACGCTCAGGATCAGCATAAAGCTGATGATGTGGAGGAAGGAACAGATGAGTTGTTTCTGACGCTGAAGAACGAGATGGAAGACGCGAAAGCGCACGAAGATCTCGATTTACTGAAAGATGAAGCGTTGCAGTCTGCTATGGCGACGGCCTCCAATTTAACTCAATGGGCTGCAGGTGCTGTCCGCCGAGCACTGCAAGCTCACTCTCTGCAGCATGGTGGCAGAGCTGCAAGTCCAGGTGGAACGCTAGACAAACTGGGAACTCGGTCTACCCCTACAAAGGGTACAGCTGAAGCTCCACTCGAGCTGTCAGACGAAGACGATGAGTCAAAGTCGGATACAAAGAGCGCTGAAGTGGTTGTAATTGAAGATGAGGAAGACGATGCTACCGCATATACCGAAGCAGCAGACAGCCACGAGAGCTTACAAGCCGCCTTAGCAGCTTCAATCGCTAGTGAACAAGAAGAAGAGAAAGCTGGAAACACCCGTGTTCGCTATCTCCAGTATTCACAACCAAGTGAGTCTCCTCAAGGCAGCGCTGATATCGACACCGCACACCCAGAGATGGACGCAGCAGTGTTGCAAAAGGAGCAACTCGAGCTAAAGAAGCTCCGCAGTCGACAACTGCGTGACACGGAGGGCATTACAGACGATATGGTGGCTGAAGTCATGTCGCTTTTGCGTTTATTTGGTGTACCATTTCTCGTGAGTCCCATGGAAGCCGAAGCTCAATGCGCTGCGCTCGAACAACTTGGTCTCGTGGACGGCGTCATCACCGATGATAGCGATATTTTCCCATTCGGTGGCCAGCGAGTCTACAAGAACATTTTCCACCACCAGAAATTTGTCGAAGCGTTTTCCGCTCGTGACATTGAGCGAGAGTTGGGGTTCTCACGAGAACAAATTATCGCATTGGCGCTCCTCCTTGGTAGCGATTATACGGATGGTGTACGAGGTATCGGCATTGTCAACGCAACTGAGATCGCGGCTGCTTATCCGGGGGTCGAAGGTCTTCGTGAATTTAAGGAGTGGGTTGGTGAGTTTGACGTTGCTGAAGAAGCTCATCGTGTAGCTTCTAGTGGTTCTAAGAAGAAGAAAGTGAGTAAGGAGAAAGAAGAGTCGGAAGACAGCGATGGTGAAGACGAAACAGCTCGTGAACGATTCCAACGGTCTCATGCCACTGCGCGACGGAAATGGGAACTTGGGGACGAGTTTCCGAGCAAGCAGGTGGTTCAAGCGTACATGACTCCACAAGTGGATCGTTCTGAAGCTCGCTTCTCATGGAGTGCTCCGGATGTGGCAGCACTGCGCAACTACTGCGCTAATGCGTTTGGATGGGATCAACAGAAAAGTGATGGAGTGTTAAAGCCTCTTGAGGAGAAGGCACGAGCTACTGCTGCTTCTGGTGGTCGACACATCCAGACGCGATTGGATCGCTTCTTTACGAGTTATGATGACCAAGTGCACTATGCTAAGATCAAAAGTAAACGCTTACGCTCTGCTGTCAACCAACGCGCTGGCAGCAAGACTGACAAAAGTAAGAAACAGCGAAAGTGAAGCTAGTGTAAAAATTGAAATCGTGAGTATAGTTGGTGAGTAACTCATCGAATTGTGGCGGTTGAACCTCCAGCAACTGATGGCACTGCTCCTGTGTGGCCGTCGTTCACTGCTGTGAACGTCACAGTTCCAGTTGCTTGGGATGCGGCGGCTGCGGCTGCCTTCTTCTGAGCTCGTTGTGCATCGATCCGGCCTTGAACTATAGCAGTAAAGTCTGTCATGTAGGCAGCCACGACGTCCAGATCGATCATAGCGCGTTGACCATGATGGATCACGTCGGCCTCCGATATTCCACTTGCGGTTTTTCCTGAAGAGTTCATTGGAGCTGATGAAGAAATTCCAGAAGCTCCAGCAGAGCCATCGTGACTGTCATTACCGGACTGGCTAGTACTTCCTTGGCTTCTGTAGCTGCCTTCGACATGTTTAAGAATCTGTCCGTGGATCCCACTAGTACATCTTTGCAATAGATTGCCAATAGCCATGATGATCTGACCCAACGCTAACGTTTTCTGTGTCGTGGCTCGGAGTGTTGCATCTGTCTCGTGCTGTAGACGCACACCGAGCAACTCCTCCCGCTCAAGAGCACGTTGCAACGCTGCGATGCGGTTGTTGAATGTTAAGATCTCGTTGGCGCGTTCTTTCTGGAAGGCAGCAAACTCCAGTCGCTTGGACTCACTCTCCTCTTCGTGAGTGATTTGGTTCCGACTCAAGTCGCGGTTAGTTTCACGTAAAGTGTGGTAGCGGTTCACCAGATCGCTCACTTCGGGGTAGTCTTCAGGTACAGCCTCCTGGACAAGCTCTAGATAGCGAGTATACTTTAGATGGTGGCGAACCTGTGCACCTAAAGCGTCGCTCTCTCGCTGTAGTGCGGTAAGCTGGGCCTGTAATCTAGCTACTTCCTGCTCCTTGCTCATCCGCTGCTTGACTTCGTCGCTGGCTCGCTTGACTGCGCGATTGCGCTTGGACTCATTCTCCTGCAGGAACTTGTTAAACTTGATAAGCGACTCTTGCAGCTCCAAGTCTTTTTTACGCAGTGCCTCTTCTCGGCGATGGAAAGCGTCTTCACGACGAGCAAATTCTTCCTTCTGAGCGTCTAGTGCTTCCTGTACTTCGAACATCTGCCGACGCTTCTCCAGCAACCGCGTCGCAGGGGATACGTGATCCAGCGTCAGTGTTTGCGGCATCTTCGACCGATTCATGATCATAGAGGCGCCAGCGCTCGTCAACGCAGTGCCACGAGGCTCCATCGCCAATGCTCAAAGAGGTACAATGGGGCTCATGAGAAACAGCTCTACATCTATAGCTCCACATCTATTCTGAGCGGAAGTTGTAGCCATCTGTATACCCATCGAACAACATGATATCAGATACGCTGCATGATAGGTATTCATTCGATCTTGAAGAGGCGCATAGATTTCGATGTTGAAGGTCTCAGTTTTATATCGTACTTGTCCTGATAACCAGCACGTTGGCCATGCCGGAAGAAGCGAGTGGTGCGTCTCACCAAGAAGTGAGGGAAGATGGCAGCGAGTGGACGAGCTCGAGACGAGTCGGAAGACGAGCACGAACTGCCAGTCGAGGAGAGAGCAAAGTGTCGACTATTAGTGACCTCCGCGTTGACACGCGGACCACAGTCGAGATGGAGCGAGTTGTAGAGGAAAGCTCTTCTCAAGACAATGTAGAGGAACAACAGGACGCAGGACGTGGTCGCAGCAGCCCACGTAGTGAGCACTCGGACCAGCTGGAGGAGCCTGTGATCCCAGTGACCGTTCTACCTGCTATGCAAGCGGAGACCAAACCTCCAGGTCGCAGGAGCCCTGGATTTGTACCAGCAGAGCATGTAGCAGGGAGGGACGAAGGAGAAGAGACGGAAGAAGATATTGCACTGTTAGAATACTTATCTGGTACGGAGAGCGATTACTATGAACTGGATCGAGCGAGTCGCAAAGGCGAGGACGCTGAAGTTATGTCATTATCGCCTAGATCAAACGACGAGAGTCTGGGTACTGCGGAGGAGCACAGCGCCACAATCCGCTATATGACTGTGACTCGTCGAAAGATGGTACATGCCCAAGAAGCTCCACGACAGGCGTCGAATCATGTAGTAGAGTCTCCACCTGGTTCAAGAGATACCGAACGGGAGGCAGAACATACAGAGGCAAAACCAGCAGACACCACTATTCCATGCAGGATGAGACCGACCCAGGAGAGCGACAGTGACTGGATTCCGTGCGAGACTGAAGACGGACTCACTTACTACTACAACCAGCACACACAAGAATCCCAGTGGACTATTCCAACTGCCTCTGGTGCTCGGACTTACACAAGCGAGGAGCTGTTTGCTGAGGTATCAGATGAAGAGATAGATTCGAGACAGCTTAGTATCATGCTGCACTCCGGTATGGATCTCCAAGCTGTGAATTCTGACGGCCTCACACCACTGCACGTCGCTTGTAACGTGGGAAACGAGCAAGCAGCAGCACTGTTGGTTTATTACGGAGCCAAGTTGGACTCTCGGGCTATTCGCGATGATGCTACTCCGCTCATTTTGGCTTGTCGAGCCGAGAGTGAAGGAATCGCCAAGCTGCTGGTAGAGTCCAATGCATCACTCTCTGCGTGCGACAGCAGTGGAAACACAGCGCTTCATGTAGCTGTTTACTCTGGGAATGAAGGGCTGGTTATGTTTGTTCTACGTGGCTGTGATTACACTTTGCTTAGCCAGAAGAACAATGAAGGCGAGACCGCTCTACATATTGCAGCAAAGCTCGGTTACTTTGGAATTGTTCGGAGCTTGCTGGCCTACGGTGCAAGTGTAAAGGACGAAGACTCTCAAGGTCGGACGCCGCTGATACTAAGCATCTTAGAGAACCACGTTGAGTGCGTCCAACTGCTGCAAAGCGTCGAAAGCAACGCGAGTCCAGCGAAGTCAAGCGCAACGTCTCAATACAGCTCTAGCTCTACATATGCAACGGAGCGAAGACCAAGTGGGACAGAGCGCGATGCATTAACTGTCCTCCAGTCATATCTCTTCCAGATTCTCCCTAACCACTCGGCATCTGAATCACAAACGGTTTTCCAACTCGTTGAAGAAGTGCGAGGACAAATTGGAGCACTCAATGCAAGTTTACAGGTAAGAGGAAAAAGCTGGATGGACTGCAATAAAACACTATATACTTATGGCACTTATTGCTTGGTTAGGCATCCAATGGACGAGAAGCGCATTACCGGGCACAACTAGAGGAAATGTCATCAAATTTGACAGTGAGTGCTGAAGACCTGAACAAGGTTCGAACGTTTGAAATTCATGAGCAAACCAACGTTATTTTAACGTTAAAAGCCGTAATATTTGTGCTTTAGGAGAAAACTCGTTATGCGGATACTCAGAATCAATTGGCGGTGCGTGAATTGGAGCTGGAAGCGAGTCGCGTGTCCCATCGTGCTCTTTCATCGCGATGCGAGCTTTTGGAATCTATTGCTCGCAATGCACAAGAAAAACTGGGAAGAGAGCGCTTAGAGCACGCACGGTACGAAGAAAGTATGCAAGAAAAACTACATCACAGCTTACAAGAAAACGCCAACGTTATCGAGTCGTGCAGGCAGCTCCAAGCAAGTTGGAGTGAACGACAGCAACAGTACGATCCACGACTGGGTCGTCGCGATAGCCAGGGATTTTATGAGATTTCGGAGGGTCTGACACAATTATCCAGTGTACACGAATCTATCGGAGAAAACTATCAACTTCTAGAAACTGAGGGGTCTGCCAGCGTAGCGTCCGGCAATCAACCAAGAGAACGATCGTCGAGTGACTATCATTATCAACAACAACAGGACTCTCGCTACTCGTTTGAACAGTATCCGTATGATAATACTCCAGAACTGATCGACACACCTCCACCACTAGTCGACGGTGATGAATCTCGAGAACCCACGGACACTGTAACGCCACCTATTTCTCCGGCAAGAGTTGGTGCTGTCTGGAATCGCTTCTTTGAGAACGTAGGGCAAACAAGTGAACCACGCGGTCCTGAACAACCGGCAATCCAATATCCGTCGAGTTCGCTCGTTTTTGATGCTGTCCGGAAGAATGATTTGCGAAAACTTCAAGAAGTTCTGCTTCGAGGGGTATCTCCGAACCAACGAGACGTTGCTGAGAAGGGCACGCCTCTCCACTTGGCGTAAGGATTCCCGTACTTGTGTCCGTGTATTGTGCATCTGCTCATCCTGTTCCTGTACGCAGATGTGAGCTGGGTGATCTTGACTCGGTCATGCTATTGAGTGAGTTCACTGCGGACTTAGAAGCTCGAGATGAGGCGGGGAATACGCCACTACTTGCTGCGTGCTTCCAAGGCAACTTCGAGTGTGTCAAGTTCCTTTTGCAAAGTGCTGTCAGTCTCCAGGCAGCAAACGAGAACGGCGACTCTGCACTTCATCTGGCTGCGTGGGATGGCAGCATCTCGTGTGTTAAGATACTACTCGACTATGGAGTTGATCCAATGGCGACGAACCGATTTGGTCTCACTGCCCTTGGAAATATGAAGACTCGATCTCCAATGAGACACAAGTTCGACGACATGCCGGAAGATCATCCCATGCGCAGAACTCTCGTGATTCTAGAGGATGCTGAACGGCAAAGACTACAGGTACCGGTGCACTAAATAACCTCTAAAAAGTAATTATGAGAAACTTATTTTTTCACAGCAGGTGATTGAAGACAAATCCACGAGCACTGAAGATGCCAACGAGCACCATACACAGTCGCCCAAAGAAGAAGTCAGTGCAAAACCATCAAGAAAGGCTTCATGGACGGTAGGTTTTCGTGACTATTATGTTAAAAAAAATAATGTCCGGATATTTTACATTTGACTGCTTGAACTGCAGCAATGGTTTCTTGGTTTCCGAGGCGCTCACCACGACGGCCCGATTGCTAAGTCTGAAAAGCAGCAGAAGAGTGCGGAACCAAGTGATACCAACACATCTACAACGTTTACCGAGCATGAAGCTGATGGCGACGATGGCGACGATTTAACTATGCACGAAAAATCCAGTTTGATGCTGAGCGAGACGCGACACAAGCCATTGACTCCGCCGCCTGAAATCGAGGAAGCTCTTCGACAAGCGAAGGCTGGACAGCTCGGTAGTGTTTACGAGCCACAGAGTTCTGCTGCACCAACGTATCCGATCACACGACAGGATTTGTCCAAGCACTTAAACCTGTCGCCAAGTGTACGAAACCCCTCAAAGCCTCATCCCCCAGCAGTCCCAACTAGTGTTCGAGCTCGATACGTTGATACATTCAACACGCCGTAGCATTAGAAAAGCAAATGCTTAGTACACTCGAGCAACATTGAAGTTGTTGACCGCTTGGGGCCCTTGCGTGTTGACAACATTTGTCGAGCGTCTGCCCTGATGTCCTCGATGACACTCTTCGGCAGCGCTTGAACGAAAGTTTCCCTTTCAAAATGTTTCTGAACGTCATACTTAAGTAAAGTTTTTTTTCTGAAAAAAAAAGTTGTTGCCTTGACTGCTCATAGCTTGTGACCCACCATAATAAAAAAAAAAAAAAAAAAAGAATCAAAGTGGTCCGAAACCAATGCGCACTTTTTCTATACAAGTACTTTTTATTCAAAAATCCATGACACAGAAATTGTGATCGATATTGAGTGAGCCTTTTATAGTCCTACATGTATACATGTTGTATATACAGTATAAGGCACATAATCAGACGATAATCAGATAGTAAGTTGCACTTTGTGTTCCTTACACCATAGAGCAACTTGAAGCAGCAGATTCGGCGGAAGAATTCTGCGCCGAACGGCTCTTGCGGCCTATTCGACCAAGAGCGCGCGCGTGTGCACAAACCTCCCCAATATAGTAATGATGCCATCTCCATCCAGCCCAATACTGCGTAAGAGCCGCTCGCTAACGCCTGACGCCGCCGTCAACATCAGCTCCAAGCTGCGCCGCAACTCGCTCGTAAGCGACCATGAAGACATGGTTTTACTACGTGAGAAACTCACCCGCATCGCCGTGGGACGCCACCACAGCACACCGGACGCCATAGAGGAAGAAGAGAAGGAGAGACGTCGCAGAAGCAGCAGCGGGGGTGCCCATGAGCACTTCAAAGTGTTCCCATTGCTGCCTCCTGAGCGCACCAACACACCGCCGTCGTCCCCGCAGCCTCGCGACGTGCTGCGTAAACAACTTAAGCTCAAGCAAAGGACAAGGAGCCATAGAACGGCCAGTGGAACTGAGGAGGACGTTGAAGGACTCGTGATGAGTGTGGACGAAGTGGAAATCACGGCCATGGAGGACGTCGAGGAGGACAACCACGCTGTCCATTCTCCACCTCGTTTACGAGGACATAAGCGGAGTCCTCAAGCCAGATTGTCCATACCTGGTCATTTACGCGTCCTGTCGCCCTTCAGTGTCCTCAACAAGTATCCGGAAGGGCTGAGAAAGCGTAAATCCGTCCATGTGGACGATGCAGCCGATTCAGAGGACCAACCCAGAGTGAGTTTGAAGAAAACGTCCAGTCAGATTAACATCTTGGCGTCTTCGGCGGGCAAATTGTCCCGCAGCAGTAGCGCCGGTGGAGCTCTCTTTCAAAAGTTCGCAGCTAGACAGAGGCTGCAGCAGGACCAAGACATGGAGGACGCATCTGGGCTCACAACCCAGCCGCAATCCCCGCAGAACTCACTGTTTGGGAACAAACATGGCCAACTATCGGCCTGTTCCTGAAGGAGCAGAGGAACTCCATACAAAATTGACCAGAACAGTGAGTATTGGAACTGTAGCTGCCTCCCTGGCTGCTGTTTTGGAGGTGAAGCGGGACTATTCCAACGCTAACGAAGCGGTAGATCGCGGCCCGCAGTGAGTGTGGCAAGATGCAGCATTGCATCTTTTGGCACGAGAAGTTAAGTGTTGAGTAGTGGCAAGTGCATACATGTCTCCTCCATCATCATCTAACAACCTCTCTGCGTTGAAACATCAGCGTCACAGCAGAGGGGAAGTGATGTCAATTGAGGCGTTTTGGATTCTACACAAAGCGCCAATGATCATTGTGAGTCTGCTGTGTTATTGCTGCAGGCCTGAGCTAGAACTGTCACCAATGCTGTTCTTTTGCAAACGTACTAGAACAAACACAAGCTGGGACTTATCCGACAACCCCTTTGTCTAATTGTTTCGGACGGTAGGCATCAACTTGCCACTCCCGTTTCATTATCAGCATATTGAGCACCTGTCTTCCTCGTCTTGAGACCGTAGCGCTAATTAACAACCAAGAGTGGCTGGGTTGATACCACTTCAGCTAAAGTTGCCGAACTGACTGAACGCCTGCTGCTGTCTCTGCTGTTGCTGCTGCTGTTGTTGCTGCTGCCCCATGCCACCGAAGCCTCCCTGGTTCATCATACCCATTCCTGGCTGTTGCATACCCATTCCTGGTTGTTGCATACCCATTCCTGGCTGCATGCCCATACCTCCCATCGGTCGAGGCTGCATACCGCCCATACCCATTTGCATTTGACCGTAAGGCTGCTGCATTCCACCCTGGTTCATACCGCCGTAGTTCATTCCACCGCCCATGGGGTTCATACCTCCAGCTCCCATTGCAGGCTTACTGGGCATACCAGCGAGAGTATCCAGACCACTGAAGCTGTTGGAACTTGCGTTGGACTGCTGCTGCTGACCAGGACGACCTGCGTTGCTGGCATTGCTACCGGTAGAACTTCCCAGGTTGTTGAGGTCGAAGAGCGAAGAGCCAGCTCCCCATGCGTCGTTGCTCTTCTTCTGCTCCGGCTGCGGACCAGAGTTCGTTCGCGTCTGACTCATCCCTGGGTTCGAAGCTGTGCGGCTCTGCTGCATGTTCATGCCACCCTGCATAGGCTGTTGCATACCTCCCTGCATTCCACCCTGCATTCCTTGCATACTGCCCTGCATACCGCCCTGCATCCCACCGAACTGTCCAAACTGCTGCTGGTTGAACGCAGGAGCAGGTGGGGCTGCGGTGTTGCCTTGCTGGCCAAACGCGTTGAAGCCCTGCTGAGCTGGTGCAGGGAAAGCAGCGAACTGTTGAGCGTTCCCTTGAGCAGGGGCACTGGTGTTTCCGAAAGCATTGAACGAGGCTTGTTGCTGCTGCGGCTGTGCGCCGAACGCGTCGAAAGACTGCTGAGGAGCGGGAGCAGCGTTTCCAAACGCAGCAAATGACGCCGTTTGAGGCGCAGCGGCAGGAGCAGCAGGAGCAGGAGCAAACGGGTCGAATGTGTTTCCAGCGGGTGCTGCGAACATGAAGCGTTAAGTGTCGATAAAAGCCAATTGAATAAAGATGACAAAGTTGTACCTGCAGCGGGAGCGGCACTGAAGAAGTCGCTGTCCAGAAGAGACGGCGCTGCGGAAGGTGCTTTTGTTGCAGGCTTGGGCTCAGGTTCCTGTAAAGCCAAAACAGGTGAACATCTCTAACAGTTACGAGATTACACGTAAGCACACATACCTCTTTCTTCTTCGCAGCTGCCTTTCTCTTCGACGACGCCGTTCGTCGCTTGGATCGGACTTCCTCTTCGGACTCCGACTCACCGCTTCCGTCATCTATCCATTTGACAACGCTGTATCAGCACCACACTCATATAATACACTTTCAAAGCCTCACATACCACGGTCATCATCAGCGTAGCGACTGGAGTAGCTCTTGTCTTTCTCCTGGTAGCCTTTCGAGTCGTTATCGCCGTAACCTCTGCTACCGCCACTGTAGCCGCCTCCTCCCCCACTGTAACTCGTACTACCACCGCCACTGTAGCTGCCACCACCGCCGCCACTGTAACCACCACCGCCACTGTAACCACCACCGCCACTGTAACCACCACCACCGCCACTGTAACCACCACCACCGCCACTGTAGCCGCCACCTCCTCCGCTGTAGCTACTGCTGCCACTGTAACCTCCTCCCATTCCACCGCCAACGCCGCTGCCAATACCCACATACTTGTTACGCAGACGTCCAGCCTTCTCACGCTCCGTACGGATCATATCATTGTCGTTCAGCATATCCACGAGCTGCTTGGCCTTGTCACGCACTGAATCATTGTAACAACTTCAAATGTCAGCAAAAATGCTCTTCAATTGTGTTTTGTGCTCTTAACGCACCTCCGTTGCCACGGTCGACAGATCCATCGTGGTAAGAGAAGCCCGAGAGGTGGCGCAGCTTGAACATGTGGTCGCGTGCGTTCTCGATCACACGCTCAGTACCGTTCTTGATCAGGTGCTCCAACAGGCTTAATGCCTTGTACACGGCGCGCCACTGGCGGCCCTCGGCGTCTAGCGCTTCCCAGATCTTGCGCATGATGACTCCATAGGCCTCACTACAGTTGAAGAGCAATGAGCTGTCAGTTGAAGAGCACATTGACACGTATCAGATCAGACAGCGCCGTACTAGTCGTAGGTGAGCTGTGCGATCTCATTGAGCAGTGTACTAGACGCGCCCCAGTTCTTGTTGGATAGGGCCTCCTCCATCTTGCGCTCTACATCTGTGCCCATCTTGGCCTTGACGGCGCTCTTCCTGCAGTTAATGAGCACAAGATCATTTCATGTTAGTATCATAACAGTTAAATAGGAGATCAAGGTTACAAAACGTACGCGTCGTCCATGACATTCTTGAGCTTGTCCAGCGCGAAGCGATCCATGGCTACGGCTGTAGTGTCTGGGCTCTCTCTCTCTCTCTCTCTCTCCGGGTGGCGCCTTGGCCTGGAGGTTTCTTCGGTGTCTTCGGTCGAGGAGTGCGAGAGGCCCCCACGTATGTCGGACGGATGATTTTGCAACAAGCGAAGGGACGCCGAATTACTGGGAGTTTGTATGCTGAATCTTTGCGATTGGATAATAAAGTGCACCACCTATTAGACGACATTCGCACGACATTACCAGGACTTCGCTTCAACTTGCTGTTTTTCACTGTTTCAGTATATTTTTATTCCTGTTTTTATTCCTGATCTCTTGACAACAAACAAATTTTCAAGCAAATGTACGCCTGTGGTTTCAAAGAATGCAGCCATTCCTGCATCGTACTTGTATTTCAAGTGATTACCCTGTCTTTACGACTACAAAACTGTCCAGAACTGCTCTATTCGCGCTGTTGATGAACTTCCACGACAGCATTGTACGGTTGGCCTGAAGTGTGGTCACTCCAAAGTCTGCGTAATTCGAAAGCACATTCCACTTCGCGCTCGTGTGGGGATTATTTTCGTGGCCCTCAATACCGCCTCCAGCGCCACTAAGAATGTAAACCGGGGCTTGAGGATTGCTGTACGTCTTGCGATCGCTGGAGACGCCGTCCAAGATAGGCTGATTGTTGCGAATTGGGGTGTGACGCTCGTAGCAGTGCTCATGAGCAGTGAGAACCACGTCCACCTTGTACTTCAGGAAAAGCGCTTCGAATGCAGCCTGCATACGTGCGCTCTGGTCTATTGGAGTCCCATTTTTGCTGGTTGATAAATCGTAGATAGGACGATGCATGCCGACGATAATCCAAGGAACGTTAGCTCGGTTTGCCGCCGCCTTCTTCAGGTCAGCCTCCACCCACGCCAACTGGTTACCGAAGTTACCGTTATGGCTAAAAGCGGTGTATTTGTTCTGCGGTGCACCGGGATAGTCCGTCTCAGCAGAGATCGAGGTAAAGTGGATTGGGCCGTTCTCAAAAGAGTACCACATATTGAGCTTCCCTCCGACCTCTTTGGACGGCATCTTGAATCGTGCGTTGTAGGCTGTGTAATTTCCCAGTGCCTTGGACTTTGACGGTGATACTTGACAAGCTGGAGAGTGACACTCGGCCTCGTGATTTCCAACGAGAACCATGTACGGCACCGAACTCATGATCGGAGTCAACGAGTTCATCCATTTGTTGTATACTTTCTCGTAGAAGAATCCAAAAGCTTGTCCGGGCATGAGAAAGTCGTCGTCAGCGTAGCCGACATCGCCAATGTGATAGATTAGATCAACTTGATCAGACGTTAGCGAGTTCACGTAGGCGAGGGTGTTTTTTGACTGATCACCAGGGCCAAAGTCACCATACACTACCATGTTGAACGTACTATTATCCGACGCAACACGAGCAGTAACAAACGAGTACACGGCACTCACGTAGTCGGGGGTGGATTTGCTGCCCACCTTGTAGAAATACTTAGTGTGGGGTGTAAGACCGGAGATCGTCGCGTGGTGGTGGAACATATTGTAAGTGTTGTCGCTGTAGTAACTGGATTGGGAGACTGGTGTGTTGACCAACGCCAAAGTGTCCTTAGACTTTCCGATCCAGACAGAGCTGTCTTGCACCTGTGAATATGTCGACCACGACAGAGTCATGCCGGTTCCAGCACTAGCACCTGCGTACGCGAGGTGGAGTTGTTGAGGGGTGAATTCGGCACCGTTCTTGACTTGGCACGGTTTGGCGGAATTACCAGTGGGTGCGCATAGGGCTGATGGATAGCAACTTGGGGAGTTCCACGTACACGCGGTGTTGCCGTTGATATCAAGTGCCGCTTCGATGCAATTACACGTGAGGATTGCCAGTCCTACAGCAAAAGCCTTCAGCATGACAGAGCTATCGTTGATTATTTTACTTCTTGCTTTCGCTCTTGCCGAATAGTTATAAAGTGAGCCACAGGAAGAGAGTCCCTGAATTGGTATTTTTCCTATCCACCCAAGAATGATGGAAATGAGCACTGTTATTTACAGATAAACGACGACTTACAACCTGCATCATAAAACATATATTATTCATAAGCCTCTGCATCTCTCTAACGTGTGGTCTGTTCGCGTCGATAACGCCGGCTACGTAAGTGTACAGCTGAAGCGGGAGATAACTTTGGGATGCGTAAGATTACAGCCGACTTATGTGATTTTTGTTGTTGTCTAATCGATGCCTTTCAGTGCGAAGTCTAGAATCTGCAATGCAAACAGCGTGTGTGTGCGAACAGTTACCTGAAAAGAAGCGGAGTGGCTGAAATGAGGCCAACGTTCATTAGCTAGAAATGCCAATGCTTACATCATATAAACTTAGTTACTTCGCGTTGTGTTCTGTAACTTGCACTTTCTCCACCAATCTGTGGACCTCAACGAACCTGGAACATGCACCATTTTATAATAGTACTGTAAAAAGTAACCTGATCGGGGTGAGTCAGCAAGGGGGGGGGGGGGGCACGCTGCCCTTGAAAGATGCTGAAAGTAGTATTAATACATGTAACTTGTGTTGATGACTCGCTCGATGATAGCTGATACGCGAATATAAACTACTTCGAAGTATAGTATAAGCTGATGCGCCTGCTGGAATTCATTTAAGTGTGTCACAGCATAACTTAATAAAAAAAATCAGAACGTATCTATGAGTCTGGATCGGTTTTTATTGTTGTTGTTGTTGGATAGAGGCCCAGATCTTTTGTTGCTCAGTTTAAGAAACAAAAACAAAAAATTGCATAGTCATGGTACGTGAAGTATAAACAAATACACAAACACTGATTTCCGAACTTTGCCTTCGTGAAGACGGCCAAGCTTCATCTCGATCGACGACGCGCAAGCGAGACGCAAATGGGCGGAGCTTACACGTACAATCCTAAATTTAATCCCTGCTGTTGTGCATGTGCTCGTCTCAACAGAGGCGTTATCGAGTACACAGCGTTTGATGTTGATCGGTTTGTTCATCTGACCTGTGTATTCGAGTAAACACTGAATTCCTTTGCGACATGTAACGGGTGACGGAATTCTGCTGTTCGTATCTACTTTACTATTTGATGCGTCGTTGTCTGTATGTATCTAGCCGCCAATGAGCGCAAAGCCGCGCAATTGGTTGTAAATAAGTTAGGGAAAGTAGAGATGTACAGTACTAGTATCTGGGATTGCCAGGTGTAATGGACCGAGTAGGATTTTGAGATGGGATTGTCTGCTTACGATAACCCGACGTACTGTAATCCACGTCCATGCTGCAACATGTGCAGAATTTTCCACAGCTATAAAATGGTGGCAAACTTTGATAAAAGGATATTGACCAGCACTTACTACAGTAAATACAAAAATGCGAAACACTTGGAGGGGGGGGGGGGGCTAAATAAAAATGCTTACAATTGTTAGTACAAAGGTGGGGTGTCATCACCCAAATTGCCGTAGTTTACGGTATGAAAACCGTACGTTCATCATCAAGTGCTTTACTAGTATCATGTCACTGACTCTTTACCGCCATGGGATGACTGACTGGTGCAAGAGCTCCTTCATTTTCACAAGAGGGTAGCCGCAAATTCCCTCGTCGTAGTTTAATCACTTCGAAACTTGCCAACCAAAGCACAATCGGGGAGAAGTCCATTGAACTCGCGATGCTGAAAGTAATCGTTACCGGGTTCGCGGCTCTCGCTGCCGCCACTGCACATGCATCCATCACTCTCAACAACACGGATTGCTCCTGGAACTCCGTCACCTGCTTGCCGACCGCGCTGTGCGAATCCACAGGTGACGATTTTCGCCCTTGCCGTGTCAAGGACAATGTGGATTACTACCCCCAACAACTTCACCTTGCGTACGCTGGCAAGAGTGCTGGAACAGCCATGACGGTGTCCTGGTCCACGTACGCCAAGGTCGACGATAGTTCCGTCTGGATCGGACGCTCTGAAGACACTCTGGAGTTGGTTGACACGCCTGTGACTCAAACCAGTTACTACCATGATGCCACGTACAACATGTTCCACCATCACGCGATGGTCTCCGGTCTGACGCCGCATACCAAATACTACTACAAAGTGGGAAGCAAGGCCAACATGTCGTATACTAGCGACGTATTTTCGTTCGTGACGGCTCGTGCTGCCTCGGACAGCAGCACCTTCAACATGGTTATCTACGGAGACTTCGGAGCTGGCAATGAGTCCAAGGACACACTCGCGTACGTGAACACGCTGAACGCAGATAATGTGGACTTGATTTACCACATTGGTGATATCGGCTACGCTGACGACGCATGGCTGATGCCCGATCAGGCCGAAGGGTTCTTCTACGAGAAAGTGTACAATGGATGGATGAACTCAATGGCTCCCGTTATGAGTTCGGTTCCGTATATGGTTTTAGTTGGAAATCACGAGTACGAGTGCCACTCACCTGCCTGTGCTGCATCGGCGGAGCGGATGAATATGCTCCGTAATTTTACCGCTTACAACTCTCGATTCCAAATGCCGTCGAAGGAGGTCGATGGCACTCTCAACATGTGGTATTCATTCGAGCACGGCCCGATCCACTTCACATCGATCTCTTCGGAGACGGACTACAAGGGTGAACCCAGTAATGAGTTCGCTGATCCACCTCGTAATGGTCACTTTGGAGACCAGTTGGCCTGGGTTGAGGCTGATCTCAAGAAGGCTGATGCGAACCGAGGCAATGTACCTTGGCTTATTGTTGGCATGCACCGTCCTCTCTATGATGTATCCGGCTGTCCGAACGGTGTGCCAGCTGACCATAACGCGAACATTCAGGCTGCGTTTGAAGATCTTTTCATCAAGTACAGGGTAGATGTGGTGCTGACGGGGCATCAGCACTACTACGAACGCCAAACGCCTATTCTTAACAGCACTGCAGTGCTGGACGGCGTCTCAAGCGACTTCGCACGCTATGATAACCCCAAGGCACCGGTTTACATTGTGAGCGGCGCTTGCGGCACGGTTGAGGGCCTTGACATGGCCCCCGATCCCACCAACGTGACGTGGAATGCGGCCTCAAACTATATCGACTACGGCTTTTCAACTCTGGAAGCGAATCGATCGAAACTGTCGTGGAAGTTTCTGAACAGTTCGAACCAGGCTGTACTTGACGAGTTCGTCATGTGGAAGACATCTCCATCGACAGAAGGTTGCAGCGACGCCATCTCTGCTTAAAGTGTGATTGGAGCTGTATAGCACCACAGCGTTCACGGAATACCCACTATAGTGTTGAGTTAAACAGAAATTAGAGAATCCACTCTAGCATGATACTCGCTAAAAATGTAGCGAGAAAATACAGCGGGCGGCTTCACGAGATTACTGGTGGCATTTGTACGATGATGTAGCCCTTGTTCGGTTACATCACAAGTACTTTCATACCGATAACATAATTATTTGGGGCACTGAATTTGGATGAGCATATAAGTGCATTTGTTTTATTGAAAAAAAAAGAAATAGATTATTTAAAAAAAGCCAAAATGGTTTTTTTCAAAGATATTGCGTATAAATAAAATTATTTTTAACATAACTGAAAAGCATATTTAGTCTATTGAAATTAATTTTAATTAAATAACCGTTTGCTAAAAAAGAAACTTAATTTTGTAATTATTTAGTTTTTTTTTAGCAAACCGTTATTTTTTTTTAATGATTTAAGTATTTTTTCTTAGATATTTTGCGTGATAGGCTAATGTGTTAAAGTAGGAACTTTACAACAACTTTGCAATTAGGATCCAACACGCTCTTTTCTTTAGAAAAAATATAGCTAGCAACTAATGAACTTCATCCAAATAATAAACCGGTGGTTTATTGTTGCCAGTAACAAAAGTGCCAAACTTCAGTGATTTTTACACACGTATACGCTTGATCACTCTTACATGTACGTGGATGCTATTTATCTACTACTATTTCACTACATGTGTTCCCAACTCCAACAGTTGACGCAAGTTTGCGAATGAATACTCAATTCGGGGACATGGGAATGCTCTTAACTAAAAAAAAAAGAGCTATTCAATACATGTACTTATCAAATACAGAAAAACGTTGTTGTCCCAAATACAAAAGCGTTCCCTACTGTGTGTATTACTGAGTCACTAGAACGCATCTCTTCCTTACGAAGTGTACATCTTCTCTATCTCTTTCATGTACACCTTCTCCACCACTGAACGCTTGACCTTCATCGTTGGAGTCAACTCGTTGCCGCCAATGCTAAAATCACGAGGGATGATGAAGAACTTCTGCACGTGTTGAGCCCGCGAAGCAGCCTTGGTGTTGGCGCGCTTCATACCTTCGCTGATGTACTCACGGAACTTCTCGCACGATTGAGCGTCCGAGACAGTGGCGGCATCACTACCGATCTCCTTAGCAACAGCCAGAGCCACCTTGTCCAGTTTGTCGGTGGGTGCTCCAGTAGCAGGGTCAGGTTCTACTCGTAAAGAGCAGAGGAAGGTGAGGTAGTTGCGCTTTTCTCCGATGACCATAACATTGGATAGCGCCGGAAGTTCTGCTTTGATCTCGTTCTCAATGAGCACAGGTGGGATGTTTTCACCTCCGGAAGTGATGATGAGCTCTTTGAGACGTCCAGTAATGGAGAGGAAGCCGTCCTCGTCGATCTCACCAATGTCTCCTGAGTATAACCAGCCGTTCTCGTCGACAGTTTTCTTAGTGGCCTCTTCATCGTGAAGATAACCCATGAAGACGTGACGACCAGTGTATTGAATCTCACCTGTGTCCGGGTCGATTCGAGCTTGAGTTCCCTCCAGTGGAGGACCAACAGTTCCCAGCTTCCATTTATTCGGCATACTGAAGGTGAGTGGTCCCGTAGACTCTGTTTGTCCGTAGAGTTCGTACAGCGGCATGTTCAGAGAAGCGAAAAAGCGCATGACTTCCAGAGAAGTAGGAGCGGCACCAGTGAGGAAAGTAGTGCACTCATCGAGCCCCAGTGCGTGTCGAATCTTGCTGAGGATCAAATAATCGGCAACGCTGAATCGGATACCAAAGCCACTGGGTGTTGATCCGTACTGAGTCTGCTCCAAGTAGGCCCAGCTCCGTTCCATAGCCCACGTCAGCAGCGACTTCTTCAGTCCTTCAGGGGCAGAACCAAGCTTCTCCTTGAGTGCGTCCATCATTTTCTCCCACACACGAGGGACACCGCAGAAGTAGTGAGGTCGCACCTCTTGTAGCGTAGCCAACAATCCTCCACGAAGCGCATCTGGTCCAGCAAAATACACTTCGGAGCCGATGACCAAAGGCACGTGGATATCCAGAAGTTGAGCTGCACTATGAGAAAGCGGCAAGAAACTCACACTTCGCTTCGCAGCACGTGCTTCTGGGTGGGCATTCAAAGCTGCCTCAGTGATCCACGTCAAATTATCGTGAGAAATCATTGCAGCCTTCGGTGGACCCGTCGTTCCAGACGTGTATATGAGTGAGCAGCAGTGGCCAGGGAGTTGAGCAGCCATACGGTCTTCAACCAAGCTTCCGTCCACTGAATCGCCGAGTTGAAGAAAGTCGCTGAACGAATAGACTGGAACACGATACTTGGTGTCTTGGGGTACGTCAGTCTCGTTCCACACTACTAGAGCCTTCAGTGCTGGTAGTTGATCCAAGACCGACAAGTACTTGTCGAGCTGGACCTTGTCAGATACCACCACAACCTTGGCTTCGCAGTGTGCTGAGACGTGTTGACAGGCTTCAGCGTTGCTTGTGCCGTAGATTCCAGCGATCACTGCGCCTGCCAGAACGGTGCCCATGTAGGTGAATAACCATTCGGGGCAGTTCTCACCGAGCACATTGACGGCCTCATGAGGCTGTACGTCGACTTGAATGAGGGCTCGTGCGAACCGTCGACTGGTATCGTAGTACTGTTGCCACGTGTGGGAGACCCACTGACCGTCCTTCTTAATGGTGAGAGCCTTGTCGTTCGGACATCTAGCGACGGTGGTCTTGAAGGTGTTGATGAGGGTGGTCGGTTCGCGAGAAGCTTGGTTGCTTTCACCGTTCTTGGGGCTGGGTACGCGTACAGTAGCAACTTCGTCTAGTTTCCAGACTCCAACCATAGCGGTGGATTGCGTCGAAGCCAGCGAAAGTGGAAGTGAACCATTTGATTAAAAAAAATCTCCTGGTTGGTTACGAAAAGAACTATAATAACCGATGACGTTGACGGGACGATGGACGTAAACGAAAATCGCTCTTGGGATCAATTTGTGATGGTGAGTTGCTGTAAACAGCAAGTGACAGACCCTATCGATCACGTTCACATCCTTACTCAATCGCGATATTGGAAACCCTTACGATGGAGGTAAGACGCTTAGCGGATAGATAACTGAGAGCCCACGATGGCGTCAAGCCATGCCAACAAGTTTTAGCACAATAATTCAACATGTTTAGTTTAGTAGAACGGCGTGTGGTACTGACAGCAACAGAATATCGAGGTTAAAGGTCGACCTTGATCCCGGTAGTGTAGGTCACCTCTGTGGGCCTAATGAATGGCGTTTGGAACGCCACCGGCACCGCTTCAATCACTGACGGCGGGCTGCGAGGGTCCGTTCGACGCCAGAAGTTGTTTTGATCCATGTGCTGTCCTCGCTCCAAGTCGCGCTCGTGTCGTCGCACCAGCGCGTCGCGCATCGCTTGCCGATATCCTTGCCACGCATAGTAGGCGTACCCAGCCACCAGCAGCATCGCAAGCACGACGAGGCAATAAACGGCGATGTACACGCCGCTCGACATCGTGTCTTCTTCAGCAGTTGTGCAAATTTGCTTATGCTGCGTTTCTTTGATGGTCACAAAATATTTGCAAGGTTATTCGTATTAAAGCACCGTGCAATATGAGGAGAAGCAAAGACACTTGTCCTACAGGTACAATTTTTGACGGGTTATTCTGTATTATTACGTTGGCGAATCATCGATTGACAAAAGAGGACAACTTCAACATCGTTGGCCATTGAGGAAAAAGTATCCGACAGTTGGCGACTTGGCAAGAAGAGCAAACCCAAACGAGTGCAGCATGGTAGGGCCACTTTGGACACCGGAAGAACTGTGGTGGCTGGTCCTAGCATGGGAAGAAACCCTGAAGGAGACGGAGAGCAATGCTGGGAAGAAGAAAAAAATGAGCTCGTCCGAGTGGAACAAGTTGCTTCATGAGCACTTTGTGGCGTTTGCGGGTGGTTCCAGTCCCCGCACTGTTGCAACCATTTCGATTCGGAAGGATATTCTCCAGAACTCGTACGAATTTATCCGATCGTTTCTAAGCAACAAGGAAACGAGTGGATCTTTGGACTGGTTCGCGCTGACCACGAACGACCAGCGCGAGTTGATGAAAACCGCAGGGGGTAAGCGTGTGCAGCCCATCGAGGAGCGAGTGTTCAATGCGTTGGAAACCATTTTGAAGGACAAAATAGCTGCGGGCCACGAGAGTGAGGGCGAAGACTTTGGATACGAAGACGACTATTCCAGCGACGGGGATAAGTTCGAGAAAGTCATGAAGGCGAAGAAGAAAAGGGCACCAGTGTCTAAGAAAGTGGGCAAACGCAGATCAAGTGGTGGAAAAACAAGCAAGAGTGCTCTAGAAGAGGAGAGTGGCGAGCTGTTGCGCGTGAAGGAGGATGACCACGCGAAGAAAAAGCATCGCCACGTTTCTAGCAAGCCTTCGTCACCAAAGGTTGGACTGAAGGACATTTTGGAGCGTCAAGGCGAGGTGCTGGCTGGATTCCTTGAAAAACGTGCTGAAGAGCGGTCGCAGGAGCACGAACGAAGCCGCCAAGAGCGTGAAGCTGATCAGAAATTTTGGGCTGCTGAGACCGCGAAAGACCGAGCTCTTCTGCGTGAGTTGTTCACGAACAATTAAGCGCTGCGTTTAACTGTGTGTAGGCAGGCAGTGAGTAATTATTTGTCTACATAATATTTTTTTTTTTTTTTGCTTTTTTGTGCAATCTAATGCGAGTTTCACTTTTTAAGCCTCATAGTAGCAGCGATCGCAGACGCGAACTGGTACGTTGATACCAAATTCTGGAATAGACTTGAACTTCTGCGAGCAGCCCTCACACACGAGGGCACCGCAGCGTCGACAGTTGTGCTGGTCTCGGTTCTGCTGAGCTTTCACTAGAGGACGTCGAGTTCCACGTGAACGGCGAGTCGCAGCACATACAGCGCGTCTTGGTGCTGAAAGGCACCCACTCCGGTAGTGTAGGCTTGGCACGACGGGCGTCACGCACAACACGCAGAGCGCTTAGATAGTTGCAACCCAAGTGGTCACTCAACATATTCTGCTGTACTGGAATATGAGAGAGTTCTTCACACTTGCGATCGACGTGTACAGCTTCGTAGATGCCTTTGTAGAAGTAAATGTGCGTCACCTTGCCAGGAATATAAAGCTCCTTGGGGTCATCCACCAGTGTCGCCACCAATTCTGCAGCCATTTTTTCTTCCTCGTGAAGTGCCTTATCTGAAGGCTCAAGTGCTTCGTCTTCAGTATTTTTCTCTCCAGCCTTATCGAGTTGATCAATCAAGTTTGTCCGCGTAAGAGTCCAGGACGACACGCCTTCGTCTTTATCTGTTTCCTTCGCTTTCTTCTCAGCCAAAGTGGGTTTATCACTCGGAGAGATCGCCTTGTCACGATTAAGCTTCCCTTTTCTCTGATCGGCTGCTTCCTTCGCCCACTCGCGTTTTCGTGGAGCCCACAGCGTCTTTGCGCGTTCTTTAAACGCTTCCAAGTCCTCAGATGCCGTGTCACGCCAGCATCCTTTAAAGTTCTTGAGCTCTTCAACCAGCTTCATAACGTTCGACGCTTTGGCACGAGGCACAATATCATCTCGAAGCACGATGGAGTGGACGAAGCCATTGCACGCCTCGGCCACGCCCAGATTCACACAAGCGGGAACAGCATATGCAAAGCACTCGAGATCCTCGAACTCCTTCTGGAGCATAACCGACAGCAACGCCGCACAACCAGCTCCAAGAGAGTGACCGGCGAACACAATGTGGTAGCCTTCGCTATGCAGCACACGAAGAGACTTGACAATGCGGTCCTTAATCCACATGACAGCTTTAAGCATGCCATTGTGCGCGAAGGCATCCACAAACCCTCCTGTCGCCTCGCTCTGCGGTGCACCAGGTGAAGATAGCCCGATTTCCTCTGGATACGCTTGAATATCAGTCAGTGCGTCCTGAACAGACTTGGAGCCGCGGATTAACACTAGCGCTGTCTTGCTCTCCTTGCTGCCTAGTAGCGCGAACGAAGGATGACGGACGTCTTGGTCCTGGACATGTGCGTAGATAAGCGAGAAGCCTTGTAATCGACTGATGCGCTGTATATCCAAAACATCCAGCTCGTAAATGCCATGCAGCGCTAAGGGCGCGTACTTGAGCACCTTCGCTAAGAACTCGTCCGACACTGGTTCGCATTCATTGTGGCTTTTCTTCTCTCCTTCTGGCTCTGCTCCACGGTCTCCTCGGTTCATCGCCATGAAATAATACGTGCCAATTGCAGCATCTTGAAATCCGAGATCGTCCAAGTCTCCCAGCAACCCTTTCAAGGTTGAAAAAGACTGCATGAACTCGTTGCGAAGAATAAATCCAATCAAGCCGGCTCTGCCGTATTTGCGTAAGAAATCGGCGCTCACGACAGCCATTTTTGCTGCTGCCCCAATCGGAGCGGACTTTGCAGCGACGAGAGTTCCTCCTGCAGCCCGCATGATCTTGTCCACGGCAGTGTCGGTGGCTGTGTTGTAGTACACAATGAGCTTGTCTTCCAGGTAGTCCTTCACACGTTCAATGCGCCATTGTACGAGCTGCTGGTCGCTCTTTTCCATCAAAATGTAGTGACAATTCTTGCATAATTTGGACGGAGTTGTGTGGCCGTACGCACGTATGATTGCAGACTCGGGTAAATGATCCCGACAGAAAGATTCAGAGCAGTAGCCGCATTGATAGCGGAACTTGGTCATACCAAACTCCACGTCGCATTCCTTGCAGTGCTTTGACTCTGTAAGTTCCGGAGGAGATACATACTTGGGGATACTATCCTCACAGCATGTCACCAGTGATCTCTCAACAGGCGACAGATCTGGGAACCGCTTGGACAGCATGGAAAGAACCTCCGCGTCGTCTTCGTCGGGAGTTTTAGAGCTGGGTTTGTGTCCTTTGTGCTTTTGAGGGAGTTGCGGCTCTGCGGAAATGGCAGCCGCAGTCGCTGCTTGTGCCATCTCTAATCCAAATAGTGACGCTTCCTTAATCGACTGCACTGTGCCATATACTGCCTGCTTGGACGATGATCCCGCCAAGTTGATCGCCGACGATGGCAGCGACACCACTGCGGACGAGATCCTACCAAAGAATCCAGAAGATCTCGTCTCGCTACGTGAGCCGTTCTTCTTATCGTCAGGCAACGGGAACAGCACGTTGTCTTCCTTAGCTGATGAAGCTGTGTCTGCTTCATTCTCTCCAGTCTTCGCGTCTAGTGGTTCAGAAGTTGAGTCTTCTTTGTTTTCTTCTGTTTTGTCATCCTTCTTGTTGGACGGGAAGAGTGTCTGCCAGTCAGGGCTGCTGTCCCCCGTCTCAGAGGCCTCTTCAGCTCCAGAAGTGGCGTTCTCGGTCTTAGACGACGCTGCGTTGGTATCTTCCTGGTCAGTTGGTTTGCTGCCCATCCAGACTCGAGTACGAACGGCGCTGGAGCGCGTCATGGGGCCCAGTGTGTCGGTGAACTTCTCACCGTAGAGCCAGCCGTCCTCGTCGTAGTCTTCGCCCTTGTAAACTGTCCAAACGAACTCCTTCTGCTCGTCTGTGCTAGGACAAGCCTCTTGGCTGGTTGTGCACCAGGCGGGAGGGTCCTCCGCGTACAGACGCGCTGACCAGCCCTAAATAAAGGAAGATATTATTGAAAAGTAAGTGATAGAGAACCTTGAATTTCTCTCGTTGTGTGAGAGAGAAATGGTGTGGAGACGCTGGGAAAGTTACAGAACACGCATACGCACCACTATGGGGTACCACCTCTGGTTCTCGATCACCTCCGGCATGAAGACACAGGGCGGAAATGAGCTTCTTCTCTAGTGGTTTCTTTGCGAAAAAAAAAAGATAAATGAAAATCTGATATAGGTAGGTGCAAAATGGAGTCAGATCTGAGTATTCATCGAATATTTTATTTCTTTTTTTTCTTGAAAAAAACTGATACAGGTACAAACAAAAATGGAATCAGATCTGGGTATTCATCGAATATTTTAATTCTATTTTAGAAATATTTGTTGCAGAACAGGATTTAGATGTTTCAGATTATTTCTGACCCATTCATCGGAATCCGATAGCTGCAAACACACTGGAATGACCCCTCGGTCTTAAGCTGTTCTACTGGAGCGGTGAGGAAAGGAATAGCACCGAGAATATCATATGTACACTTTACCTCATGTGTATTAGACTTTTGTATTATTGATTCTCGGGGATATTCAATTTTGCATGATGCGGACCGCAGCTCTAATGCTCCAGTTAGTTACCTCCAGTCCTTGCAACATGTTTTAATAAAGCGGGTCGGTTACAGTAAACGACAAGCCATGATACAGCTTTTAAGCGTGGCACAAGTCACAGTATTGGAGACGTTGTGGATCGCGTGAGACGGACGCAAAAACTGGTTCCATCAGCGACGATGAGGTGATCGGTCAGCTACAGCATTTTTTACACTCCTGCCGCGTTGGTGTCCAGAGGTGTTTCGTTTGCTACAGTACGTGGATAACCATAAACAGCGCCATCTTGCCTCTCTAAACTAGCACGAAGATACTGCTATCAATATCTCTTGATGCACATCTTCGCGTTTAAGAAATGCAGACCAACGTTCGACGCTCCAGAGAACGATCGACCCGCGAACTTAGGAGGGAAAGCCTTTTGCATTCATAATACAGCACCAGCAGGACTGTTGCTCGAAAGACGAGTCGTCTCAGCATGTTTTTGTAATTCGAGTAAATCTCGTCTCAGACGATCACTGTCAGCAACAGTTTTCGCTGATGGTATGTAATCACTGATGGTATGTTTTTTTCGCGAACGCGTGCCTTCCTCCACTGGTCACCACAGAAGTAACAAGTTGGGGGCAGCACAAAGGTTTTTGTATATGTAAGTTTAAGTTTTACAGTTAGTTCGTGTAGTTGTCCGACTGTTGCTTGCTCACTTAGACTTGCAAATTTCACGATCCACAAAAAGTTTAGATCAATTCTTCAGAAACCGAAGATGAATGAAATTTATCTGCGATAAAGGACACTGTAATTAACTCAAGCAAGATGCCCTCAGTTCACATCCGCAATCATACGTGAGCTTCATTACATCATCGAGTGGTCGAGTGGTCCGAAAGTCACCCAACAATATGGCTCGCTTGCCTGCAGTGCAGGGGCACGCGTACCAACGCATTCAAATCTTGACCACGACGATCACGAGTCAATGTGTCTGGTGCGGCATCACCTACACATTATTTGTTCGAGGCACGTGGACATCAAAAGATACATGTACACACTTGACTCGAGGCTTTCCACTCAACCTGCATGCAGGTATCACCAATCGAGTAGTGATCACCCTTGAGAAGACCACCATATTCCGTGGTGGTGACCATTGTGGTTAATGTCCAAACCATTTTCATTCTTGGTTTTGCATCCTACACGCCAAAGCATGGCATTTCAAGCCCCAACTCCAACAGCGGCGACGGCCGACAAGCTCAAATCTCCTGACCAGTATTTCGACCTCAAAACGCCGGAAGACACCAATGGTGATATCGAAAGTGGGGCTTTACGATCTGGCGGCGCACCGTCTATCTGGTCGCTGCGCAACATCGGAGTCTTGGTCAGTTTCTGCTGCGTCACCGTCGTCTACGGCATGAGTCTGAGCATCCTGTACGCTGTCATGAACAACTACCTGTACATGTCCGGTCTCCTGGTCGCGACGGCCAAGGCTTTGGTGAAGATTCCTCGTGTGCTGCGCGTCTTCCTGTCTGCTTTCTCGGACATTTACCCTATCTTCGGGTACCGTCGTCGTCCGTACATGATCATCGGTTGGAGTGTTGCCTTCATCGCTTGCTTCATCATGGCTGTGATCCCACTTGGAGATCCGTACTACGAAGACTCCTCGCTGGCAGACATCAACCTCGCCGACATGACTCCGGAACAACTGGCGCTAGTGCACACTGACGCTCCACACCGCGGCAACAAGTTCATCTTCCTCTTCATGCTTGCCAACTTGGGTGCTGTCATCGCCTACGGTCCGACGTATGGCATCTTCATCGAGCTCTCTCAACGCGAGCCTGAACACATCCGCGGTCGCCTCCAAACGAACGTCTTCATGGTGCGCAATGCTCTGGCGATTGTCACGGCTTTCCTGACTGGTCTGTGTCTAAACAGCACTGAATACGGCGGCACTTTCTCCTGGACAATCGGGTTCAACGGCATCATGTGGATCTGTACCGCCGCGACACTCATCACTATCCCGTTCTGCTGGTTCTGTGTGACCGAAGAGAAGGTGGAGCAGACCAAGTCCATTGGCACCTTCTACAAGGAGATCTACGGCATCATCCAGAAGGAACCCTTCTATCGCCTCTTCATCTTCCGCTACTTCACCAAGATCTTCGCTGCAGTGTCGGTCACGGCATCCAGCAACATCCAGTCCATCTATGCTGGAGTCACGCCGCTTAACGATGGTATCGCGGCTTGTATCAGCCAAGTTCTGATCGTGGCAGGCATCTTCTCAATCAAAAAGTGGGGATTGCAATGGAATTGGCAGTACTTGGCTATCTTCTCGCAGCTCTTCGCCGTGTTTGTCGATGCCTTCCCGACCTACTTTACCATCTGGAACGTTTTCCGTAGTCAGTGGTTCTGGCTCGGTGTCCCGCTTCTCGAAGACTTTGTGGGCGAGTTCGTCGACTACGCGACAACCATCACCATGGTGGAGATCGCAGAGCCTGGGCGTGAAGCTACGTCCATGGGTTTCCTCGGCTCGATCACTGCTGCTGCCCAGCCATTCGGCACAGTCATTACCAAGTCAGTCGACAGCTACTTTGAGATCGGGCAAAAAGCTCTTAAAAGAGACGATCACGCTGTTCACATGGACCTCACGTACGCCTACCTCATCGCGTACTTGTTTAACATCGCGGTTGTCGTGTTCGCTTTCTTGTTGCCTCGCCAGAAGCACGAGGCGCAAGCAATGAAGCAGAACGGCAACACGAGCAAGCTGATCGGTACGGCCTCCGTGGTTATCTTCCTCTTCTCTGTGGCCTGGGCTATCATGACTCACCTGCTGTCGCTCTGGGACTCGACGTCGTGTCTGCGTATTGCTGGCGGTAGCGGTTGCTAAAAACCTGGGCGAGTTATCTCTAAACTGAATAGGGATCATTAAGGAATCTCTATTCTGCTAAGAGAAAAAAATCAATTGTGTCGTCTTCACTGGTTCAGAAGTGCAATCTCCTCATGACAACGTAGACTGATTGTTAGCAGCAGGTAATCACCAACCTTGTTCGTAGAAGACGCAGCGCGCTGGATGTGGTGCATTAAAAAAACAAACATGGTCATCTACAGGTCACTGTCGATGTCATCAAAGGCTTCGTCGATCTTGTCCCACAACGCATTGGCAGCAGTAAAATGGTCTGTTGCTGGGTCGATCTGGAACCGAACGATCCGCTGCTTGGCTGGTACGTGGATATCTGAGACCATCGACACCAAAAAAAAACTATCATTACCACCAATTTTTTTAAATATTATCATAATTCAACAATGCAGACTTACCTCCAGCAATTTGCGAACCACTGAAGTCCCATCGAATGCCCGTAACTGAAGCGTATAGGCTCATCTGGTTCCTGATTACCATAAAAGTCGAAAGTCAGCAGCACGCCCTGCATTCAGCGAACTATCCTTGATTCGTACTTTGCCACAGGGATCTCGCTTTGGTGTTCAGCGTTGTACTGCAGCAGCTCCTGCCTTGCCACTTCGTACTTGTCCAGCAGCACTTCCAGAGACTCTTTCGATGTCGTAAAGTCCCCAACCACGCAGCATTAAATAAGGTTAAGGAAAACTAGCCAACCACTTTGAAAGATCCACATGAAATATGCAGCTACTCTGACTACAAATGCACAAAATTGGAAGAGAAGGATATTGTTCGTTGAGGCGGAAGCGGTCAAGCTGCACAGTCATGTCGCGCTTAATAGCTTCCAGCTCCTGCAGTTTCTTGTTCAGCTGCTCGTTGCGCTGCTTGGCCATCTTCTCCTTCTCCTCCCATTCGCTCAAGTTCGCGCGCAGGTCTGGTGGCATTTAAAAATACTAAATAATACAACAATAATTGCTTTTTCTGCCTGTACTCACGCGCAAGCTGCCGCTGCGCCGTGCTCTGGCGACTCTGGAGCGTATTGGCGATGTCCTTGCGCTTCTGCACGAGTGCACGCAGTCGTGCTGCGTCCTTAAGCGCGTCGTTGTGGAACATTTCCTCCACTTTGCTGCATATCTCCTGCACCTCGGCCCAAGGCTTGCCATCAGCATTTTGTTCCGCCATTATTCAAAATTCTCAAGTGTACAAGTTTATGAGAAAAAATAGTCCAAATTGTGCATCGACGTCAACGCCCAGTCACTTTTGGTATCTGAGCGATGTCGTTCCGGTCGCTGCTGGAGGCGGCCATGGGCGACACCCAGGAGCTGTCACCGGACGAGGTGGGGCGCATCGACGCTCAGGTGGACATGCTAGATGATGATTACCAACACTCTGACGGTTTAGAAGAGAGTGACGACGCGTACGTGCCGCCATCCAGCGAGGAAGAAGATGACGGTGTGGAGGAAGAGGAGGAAGACTCGGACATTGAGCGTCAATTATGGGGCAAGTCTCGCAAGCGCAGACGACGTGGAGGCAGATTAGGGCGACGCCGCCGCCGTGGCAAGCACACGGGCAAGCGCAGCGTCACCGCCACCAAAGTGCCGCCAGAACTGGCCAATGTACTGGGCGAAGCCAACATGTTGTACGCTTCTCATCAATACGACGAGGCTATTACGTTGCTCAAAGACTTTATTAAGAAGGCTCCGACTATTCCAGACCCGTACCATACGCTGGGCATGATCTATGAAGACCGACAGGACCGGATTAAGGCCCTGCAGTTCTTCTTGATTGCGTGCACGCTGACACCGCAGGACGCTGAGCTCTGGAAACGAGTCGGACGTATTGCTAAAGACGAGAAGAACTTTGATCAAGCTTTGTTCTGCTTCAAGAAGGCGAGCAGTGCAGACCCGAAAGACAAAGAAGCGCTGTTCAGTTATGCCGAGTTGTGTCGAGAACAGGGGGATAATCGACGAGCAGCCGAGGTGTTCAAGAAGCTGACGGTGCTGATCCCGAACGACTTGTCGCTGTGGATTCAAATCGCTGAGGCGTACCATTGTAATGAGCAGGAAGAAGAGGCGGTGGATGCATTGAAAATGTGTATCGAGAAGGCAGCGACGCTGGATCCAGCGAGGAATCTGCACTCGTCTAAGTACGAGCTCAATGCTGTGAATATGCTCGCCGACTTATACATTACACTGAAAAGATATCGGGAAGCTATTGATGTGATCCATCACCTCCACTCGCGATACGCCTCGACTCAGGACTCTGACCAAGTGGAGGGCGACCCCGGTGGCTTACCACTTGATATTGCCGTAAAATACGGTATATGTCATCTTTTCGAGCGAGATTTCGCCACGGCTGAGTCCATGTTCACGCATTTATTCGCTCAGGATGTGGAAGTGTTTGGTGATCTGTATTTGGATGTAGCGGACGCGTATATCGCGCTCGAAGATCAAGATCGAGAGGCTGCAGCGATTCTACAACAACTTTTAGGTCGTGAAGAGTTTCCAGTGGAGCAGATTTGGATTAAATTTGCAGCGTGTCACGATCGTCTGGGTATTTACGACGTTGCAGTGGAGTATTACGAGAAAGCATTGGCCCACCAGCGCTCGTCGCCGGACTTGACTGTGGATCCGGAGTTGATGCTGCAGGCCATGCAGGCCACACGGAAGAAAAATAGCCCATTGGAGGGTATCGCATTGCTGAACGAGTACTTACCAGAGTCCATGTGTCCTCCAATTCGACCTTACTGGATCAATACGTCCCGGAAGAATAAGGACCAAGACTCGACGTCAGCACAAGATGGAAAGGATGCGAAGGAGGGCGCAGACAGTGATGCTGATGAGCTAGAAGAGGAAGCAGAGGATGAAGACGATGCCGAAGACCAAACGCGAATGGAGATGGCTCACGATCCGTCCCTGTCAGTGGATGCTATGGAAAATGGCATTCGTCTAAAACTCTTGATTGAATATGGTCATCTGAAGAAGCTGTCGGGCGAGGCTGAAGTGCTCTGCCAAGTCGGCATTCCGATCATCCTCACTTCTCTTAGCCAAACATCGTTTCGCCTATCTGGTCGTGTGAAGAACCCACTGGCAGAGCCTCAAGACGTGATTTCAGAAAGTGACGCGCAGTCTATGGGCTTCCAGGTCCTGAAATCCGAGTACCTGGTGGACATCACTGACTCGAGACAGCGTGAATCATTCATGGGAATCGTCATGCGTGTGGCGCAGCAGATTGTAATCTCACGCGCACTTGGCGAACAACAGTACTACAATTTGGTGATCGATGTCGCACAGACACTCACTGAGTTAGGCAAATATGTGGCTGCAATCGAGCTATTGACGGACGTGAACACGTCGGATAAAATCTCCAAGCCTACTCTGCGCTTCGAACTGCGCTTCTTAGCGTTGGTGATCGCCCTTGAGTTCAAGGAGAACCGCATGGCGTATGAGTGTGCGCGCTTGAATATCATGGAGGATCCCCACAATCTCGGCTATTGGAACCTGTTCTCGCGCGTGATCGCTATTACGGGTGTGTTTTCGTGGCATCAGAAATTCCTAGCGAAGCTGCTGCGTGATGATCCCGAGAGTTACCCGGCCATTTTACTAGCTGGTCACCAGTCATCGGCCTGGGATATTGCGTCGCTGACTGTGGGTGAGCTGACGCTCGCTCACCAGAAACACCCAAACGATCCGCTGACGCTTTTCTGCATCGGCTTGGCGTTCCTGTCGGCTTCGATGCAGCGGACTATCAACGACCGACAACATACTGTAGCAAAGGCGTTCGCGTTTTTGCAGCAGTACGAGCGGACCCGCATCGTCGCCCCAAGTGACATCACTTCGGATATACGTCAGGTCGAAGCCTGGTATAATATTGGTCGCGCACACCAGCAATTGGTACATGTATTGATTCAGAGTGATGAGATCACATTTTTCTGACGAAGTAGCTGTGTTTGTTTTGTTACAGGGTTTGTTCCACTTGGCAATTCCTATGTACGAGCGAGTGCTGCGGTTCTTCGAGGAGAGTAAGGAGCAGAGGCGTGAGATACCCCCGGAGTACTTGCTCTGTCGAGAAACTGCCTACAATCTGTCCCTCATCTACAAACAAAGGTACGTTTCTAACTGGTTGTCGTGCTTTTTTGCTTATTTCCTAGTCAGTCTTTGATCCTTTTGAATTGCTGTTTGTAGTGGCGCTAACGACTTGGCCAGATACCTCATTGCAAAATATTTAACGATCGAATAGCTAGGTTAGTAATAATACCTGTGTTGATTCTTCTAAATGATTGCAATTAGGGTGCATCGTTTAATCGGCCAGACCAGTTGAGCATTTTTCGGCGTAGTTAGAATTTGGTCCGAACTGAGTTTTCATTTTACAGGGACCAATCTACGAATTGCAACACCGATATTTTTTCCTTACTTGGTACCAAGATTAAAACAATTCATTTTATTTAAAATGGGTTCATATTCGCTGAAATATGCTTCAGAGTTACAGGTGTACTGTATTAATTTGTTGTGCAAAACGAGATTAAAAATAAAGCAACAGATAATGCATTTACGATAAATTGACCTCATAAAACCGTAAAGTGGTCAGCATTAAACAAGAATGGATATATTATCACAAACACAAGTCACTGCTTGCCGGTATAGCCTCGTGGTCACATCGATTAATATAAATGCAGGTGGATTTAGGCAAGCATTTAACTAAATACTCGGGACATGACTTTTTTCTCACACACATTTATGGTTTGCCATTTTTAGCAGCAGAATAACCGCAAAGCACAATACCAATTTTTTCATAGTGCTGGTTATCTTACCATATTAGTGAGGCATTGTACTCCTAAAGTGCACATACTTAGTGAAGTACATGGCTATTGTGTTAGTTTAGCAAATCCTGTTTTTACCAATTTTGTCCTGGTCAAGAAGATATCTTTGACGAGTATTGCCTATGTTGGTTAGCTATGTGAATTTCATAAATACTAATCTTTCTACCGTAACTATGAAGGGGGAAGTTTTGGGGATGTAGAAAGGGTTGCATCAGTCCGATTATAGATCCCTATTCCCATCACAAAAATCAAACATACATCTACCAGTCGAAGTAAGTCGAATCCAGCTATAACTCAATTGTGAACTCGTGTTTGATGAAGCCATTTTCTATTTTACCACGAGTAGAAGTTGCTGGCGCAGATGCTATGGCAGTGGTTAGATTCCGCAAGCTGTCCATTTCAGAGATTTAGTATGCTCTTTCAAATACAAGAGCCACCTTTTGTATGGGAAGATGACAAGACGCTACATATTTTGTTTTCATCTTCGAATTTGTCATAGCTTACTTACTATACTGCTTCATTCATTGAAAACTATTTGTGATCTATAGGCAGCGCGAAACCGATATCCATTGCCTGAATATATCCCACTGAAAAAAGTGCCCTCCCCACGTCACTTTCTTATCTGTAAAATTAAAAGTTTATGTGGTCCTGGCCTTTTACTGAGACTTGACGATCTAGCCTTCGCAACTCCCGAATTGGTATCGATGGCATTCAAGGCGAGCTCAAAGATATGCTGGGTGATGCTGAGAATTCTTTTTTTTTTCTTAGGTTCGACGTACAACCGATGATATGGCAATACGAATTTGTTCTGGGTACCAATGCAGATTGCCAAGCGAACAGTGGAAGCGCGTAACACAGGTCAAACACGGGTCAAGGCCACACATTAGATCAGGCACAAACTTTGTGACCAAGTGCGTGACCACATTTATCTAATACAAATGACGAGCACATAATATTTTGTTGTTGGCAGGAGTGAGGGAAAACCTCTCAACGGCACACATATGTAAAACAAATGATGGTTATACCAGTTCTCACGGAGCCTCGCCATCCGTGAAAGGGTGGATGCTGAGTGGAGCCGTGATTTACACCGTATCCATGAACTGGATGTCCATGGTTTCTGCGTTCGCACCATTGTCACCAACGTATTCAAAGGCGTTGAAGTTTTCATCACCAATGACAAACTTGAGCAAGTCTGCATATCTACACTCCGTTGGACTTTGGGGCCGGGTAAACCATTCGTGCTGAAGTAGTTCGTCTTGAGACCCACTGTTGTCTGGAACTACGCCATCGCGACGAGCACAAACGAGCTCGACGGCCATGTACATCTGCTCGACCACGCACAGCTCTTCTGCTACGTACAGCTCCACGGCCATGTACTGATCCTCTACCACGTACACGTCCTCTTCCGCGCAGTGCTCTTCGGCCACGTACAGATCCTCGACTATTACAGTACCTCGATCTCCAACAGCATTCCGGCCATGGACGATGGTTGCTCCGATCACGATTATCGTTGTAGTCTCGTCCGTCGGGCTAGTGGCGTTGTGCTCAAAATAGGCTATATTAAGAAAGGGTACACATTCACCTAGTTCGTGTAGATTGTCACTACAAGTCTCCCAATTGATTGCAGCGCCCATTTCGCCAAATTGCATTTTTAGCATCGCTAGTCTCAAAATCAGAACCATCGGGGTAACTGCCGTCACGTAAGTTCGTACTCCTGTATTCAGGTTAGCTCTCGTCGTCGAATTCATCAGACGACTCAAATACAACTGCAGAAGGAAGCTGAACTTCTACTCGACGTTGGCGTTTAGCTCTTAAAGACCTATCAGTCACTCGCTGCTCATAGCTTCGGGCTATCTGCTCTATTGTGGTAACGAACACAGGCATGATCGGAGGAAGGGGTTAACTATTGATCCGCTCCATTGGGTGCAGTTCACCAGATCTTTTTCCAACCCGTGCACGTTTCACACAGCTGGGGTGTACTTGTCAATTTAAGTCTTTACCAAGTAGCTACAAAAAGTACCCCCACTTTAATTCTGAGTAGGCGATACCGATTGTATTACATTTTCTATCGTATGCTGTACGAAAGCAACGCCGTTCTTGGTGATATGTTTCCTCTTGACGACAGTCAGCATATTCGTGACACCTTTTCCATAGCAATAGAAAATTCCTACTTTGGAATGCGCAGCTTCTCCACCTTTCTTTTCACTGCCTGTTTAAAGTGAAATTAGTAGCAAACACGATGTACATCCGTAATTGACTTCCGGCTACGTCTAGCAACGCAGCCTCGAAATCGCATATCACCATTGCGAGACAAAGCTTCCAGCTTGTGTTGCTGATGCTAATGTCCTATCTCACGGCAACGTTTGCCCTTTTTGCGACGATCCAGCAGTGAATCTAGTGCACTGTGTACAGCGTTGACAAGAATTCTGCGAAGCGTGCATCATGGAGCACATCACGTGAGTTGATGGCTACATGCCCAAATTGCCGCTTTCCGGTGTTTACTGCTGCCCATGCAGAGCGACATGCCAGAGCGCAAGTAGAGGACGAACAACTAGCGCAAGATTACATGAATTTGGTTTGTACGACTCAGATGAAGAGGATCGTGGCAGTACTAGTGACTATGAAGATTAGCTAAGTTTTTCCTGTATACCTATCTTTATATTAATCGTTAGCTTTCTTCAATCTGTAATGATAGTCAGGATGAAAATGGCTACTGTTTCAAATGTAGAGGGTAAACATGGTTTTGGTACATTTCGTCAAAACATATGTTTTCTCGAAAGTACTTACATTCACAGTGGATAGGATACCCTCCAATATGTTGAACATGGTGTATAGTAGCTGCGTTTGGAGCATGCAGGTCCCGGTTTTGGCTACGGTACTTTTGGTCAATGGTCCTCATTTTTGCTACAATAATTTAGGTGCATGCTTCCCGTTTTGGTTACAGCAAATTTCCTCCTGTGCTCCTTTAATGGCTAGAAAACAAAGTGTAGAAGAGAAGGCAGAATTTATGAGGAGACTTTTTAGTAGTACTCAAAGGCGCTGTCTTAGTTGCCAATTTCTTCATCTGAGCTTGGATCTTCGACGTCGTCAAATTCTGCGATATCGTCGGCATCGATGTTCTTCGCGTTGGAGAAGACGTAAACTAACTTCAACACTTTCGTCTCTTAGACAGTTTTGCAGCGACGAGTGATTGAACTTGCGGGTCGAAAAGTTCCGCTCAGCAGCAGCGCTTGAACTCGGCGAAGCGAATACACATGTTGCTACTTTTGCAGCTGAGGAAACCCTTGTAAACCACCCCAGAACTCTGGCACACTGTCGCGCTTGCTCCTTACCAATTTGGGCTCTCGAGTGCCTTCTGGAGAAGCACCTGATGCGCATTAGTTCAACAGTGGCAGCGTTCTCGTGATCTGGTCCGTTCCAGTTGTAGACAAAGTCAACAACGCTTTCTCTGACCTCTTCGTCCATTACTTCACCGCCGTACTGTGGGTCGAGAAGAAAAGAAACACCATATGCGTCCCCGTAGACGAGGTTGGACTGATCGTGCAGGATGCTGATGATGATTCCAAACTCCGACATAGGCATGTTCATCTCGCTATACTTCTGTGGAAGTTCCAGAACCATCCTGCAGACATCCAAAATAGGTGTCGAGCTGCGCTCAACATCTTCTGAGCTGCGGGCAGCACACCCAGCAAAGCGATGGCTTTTTTCAGCTGCGGAAAAAACTCGCTGGATACGACCACGTTGTACACCATGCGCTGCTTCGTCTTCTATTTCTTGGACTTTGATGTGAGGAAGGCACGAGCGCTAACCATTGGCAGAGGGATGCTCCAATTCAAGCACAGAAGCGAAACACTTTTCGACGATGCCCCATCCCATGTCAGCGGGCATTCCTAGTGCGGTGTTGTCTTCAAGACGTTGTAACTGATGAAGTTCTGCTAAGAGCAGCTGGTTCTTTTTAAAGAACTTCACCATCTTTCGACAGTCCCCCTGTAGCTTCTCCAACCACTTGATCTTGGCCACCATGTCCTTGACAATCAGATGTATGACGTGGGAAATACAGCCGTGTAAAAAGATGTCGGAAAACGTCTATTGCAAAGTCGACCACATCAACCGGTTGGCTGCTGTGTTGTCGCTGACAATAGCAACAACAGTGGTAAACTTTTGTGAGTGGAGGCCTCGTTTCATATCAGTAGCGAGGAACACTGCTTCGTGGGAAGTACTCCCAGTGGAGTTGGACTCCAGAAAGTAGCTCTCCCCTTCGCAGTTTAGAACATAAAAATCGATTACGCTCCTGCCCTTGATGTCCAGCCACGCGTCCTTGTTAAGTGTGCACTTCTTGACCCGCAGCTTGTGTGGCACCATTACTTTGAAATCTCCATAACACATGTCTAGCAGCGATGTTGCGAGCTCACGGGCAGATGGAATCTCCACGCCGGGATGCAAGATCTGGAGTGCTTGCAGCAAGGAGGAGTGTGATACCTTGTGAAATGCCATTCCCGTAGAGTAGAACCATAGAGCAATGTGCTTTTTGAAAGCAGTAATGTTTCCAGCAGTTAACGCAACAAGGAATCACGAGATTATGGGCTTTAGCTTGTGCCGCTTAGTGCTTTTCTTCTGCAAGCGATGGCGCACACGCTCGACGTGGGTTTCACCCATCTGACGAATGATGCGCTCACATTTCTTGCAGGAAACGATGCCATCTGCCGCAATGACCTCGTCCCAAGCTGGACCCTTTCGGCGTCCGCACTTCGTCGGCGGTGACTTTGAAGTCGCGACAGCCGCACTTGCCGACTGGGTCGGGCCATCTGTAGAGGCAGATGGAGCAGAGCTTCGAGCAGCTGGTGACGAGAGCATTGATACGCTTGACGAGAGGCCGAAGTCAGGTAAGGTGCAAATTGTCTGGTGTAAGAGCGAAGAGAAGACCATGGTCGCGGGGAATAAGAAGGCTGGTTTCTTAATTGGGGGCAAAAGATGTAGTGAGCTTGGTTTCGCTTTCGTTCTAAAAAAGATCGAGGTTCCAATACCATGAGCCAACCAGTATACAAACTTATGACGTTTACACTACCAGCAAACCGAGCTTAGATCATACGGCTGAGCGGAGCTGCCACAACCGCCGCCAGTTGTTGTGAGAGCATATTTCCCCTCTTAGGCGCCCCAAATCGCGATCGTATGTATCTAAATTTTCTACAACCGCTCCAAAGCATCTCTTAACCGCTTCATTTTATCTGAACCGGCCCAAAGTTTGAGTAGTAGCGTAAATGACGCCATCGAATTAAAAAAAAGAAAGAAAAACTGTGTTTTTATCCCACCCACCCTCAAAAACATCATCACCCGCCCACTCAAATCTGAAAAGTTGGATTTTGACGAGCTCTGATTGCAAAACAAGTGATTATTATGTTGATCAAGTCAAATATTTTAAAATGAAAGAAAATAATTCAAACCGAGTTTCCCCATTTATTTTTTATAAAACCAATTATATTTTTACAGTTTTGAATTGCTGTAACTGAAATTGCAATTGTTTTGTTTTGTTTTCTCAAAAAAAATTAAAACATTAAAGCGTACAAACAGAACCTGGGCATGGCGACGGGGGAGGATCTATGGCAGCAGATGCTGCGCGACTGCTCTGTGCGGTCCAAGCTTCCGGTAGCCAACTTTCTGTTAGTGGGCGATGCGGAGAGCGGCAAGTCGGCGCTGCTGGCGCGCCTGGACGAGGCAAAGTCGACGCCCTCTGAGACGGCTGACGAAACACACGCCGTGGATACGCTGCTGGCCTTCAAGACGCTCGACGTGCTGGACCCGCGGGCAAAGGAGAGTGGCGGTGATGCCTCTGGTACTGGAAATACAGTAATATATGCTGGAAAAGCGGTAAAAACTCATTTAACTGTGTGTTTTTGTGTTTAAGAGGATGTGATGGCACATATCGGCACTTGGAGTCTCAACGACTTGAACCTGAAGGACCTCATTAAGATCGCGGTGAAGCCCCAGACCCTGCAGAAGGTGGGGACTCTTTATGAGTGTTTAGAGTAAAGCGGGTGCACTAATTAATGGGGACAATATTGTTTGGTAGACGGTGGTGGCAATTGTGCTGGATCTCTCGCGGCCCTGGACGATTAAGAGCTCGTTGGAGCAGTGGCTGTCGGCGTTGGAGGGTCAATTACTGGAACAGATCAACCAGTTGGCTCCTGAGACCAGGAATGAGCTGTATGGGGCTATCAAGCAGCATATTTTGGCCTATGAAGACCCGGTATGTTGCGGAGAAGAGATATTGACGTGATTGGATACTGATTTCAATTATTTGCCTGCTTACAGAGTGTTGACCACTCTGCACCGACGCCTATGGACACATCTACGAATGAATTCGTAAGTATGAATGTGTAGCAGATGACAGAAGAGTAGTGTTTCTTACATGCGTCTCTTTCTTTTTGACAATAGATGGAAGAAGGGGTGCTATCGAAAAACTTGGGTGTGCCTCTCGTGATTGTGGTGGCTAAAGCGGATGTACGTCTAAAAGTTCTGGTTGGAGAGAATGTGTGCTTAGATGACTTACCATTATATTGTTATATCATTTTAGCTGCGTCCAGAAAACTCAGTCAAGATGGACTACATCGAGTATACTTTGCGCCAGTTCGCGATTCGATGTAAGATCGTAGATAAATGTTGTTACTTAGTGCTTGTGTTAAACGCTATTTGTGCTTTTACGAACTCTAGATGGCGCGTCAGTGGTGTTTACATCTGCCAAGACCGGATCCAACGTGGACACTCTTCGCAAGTATATTCTGCATCGCGCTTATCCGTCCCAGTTCAAGTTCACGGAGCCGCCACAACTAGTGGACCATAACAGCATTTTCATCCCGTCGGGTTACGATTCTTTCGAGCTGGTGAACCAGAGCCTTGTGGGATCGCAGGCGCGTTGGCCCACTGACAAACCATTCGAGAAAATCGTCCCGGCACCGACAGAAGAGACAGATGATGCTGCTGCAACACTCGCTACTGACATCCGTGTGGACACCCACGAGCAGTGGCTGGAAAAACTGGAGAAGGCTGCCGGCGCGGGTCTGGAAGAGCTGCAAAAGCAAAGTATCGAGGCGAGCAAGAAGGCGGAGCAGGCAGCAGTCGCTCGTCGCGCTGCAGCTGATCGTCGCAAGCGCGAAGAGAAGGACGTGAGCTCGAAGCACTTGCAGAACTTCTTCAATAACCTACTGAGTCGGCCAGAGAAGACTAGATCTTCTCGGTCCATGAGTGACAAGAAGGTAATGTGATGTTGGTATTCATTCAGACGTGCTGTGAGTGACGTCGTATGCTGTTTGTATTTACTCACAGAAGGAAAAGAGCGACAAGGCGTTGGGTGACCAGGAGGCGAAGCGCTCCGCTGTTTAGAACAGATCGTTCAAGTCGTTGGAGAGTGCGATGCAAATACAGTGAGTAGGGAGCGTTTACGTGATGATAATTCTTTTATGAGGTAGTTATCCATCTCGCTGGTTTAATAATTCTTCTACGCTTTGAAGAGAATCTCGATGGTGAGTGCCTGTTCTAGATTCAGGTGGAGGTGATGTATGCGTGAATAGCATCGAGTTGATACTATTGACGGGCGTTGGAGAGTTCAGCGCCATGTGAAGCGACTGTCGCCGTTCCTGAACGCGAGACAGTCGACCCTGTGTGTCTTTGAGCATTTCGACCAACCGCTGGATCTCTTCTAAGTTGATGTTCATGTTGTCTAGTTCACTGTTGACAGCGATGCCGTCTTCAGTTTGGAAGGAATTGAAGCGTGATGGCTTACCACCCGACCCGGAAGACGACGTGGCCGGAGGTTTGTCATCTGCGCCGTCGACAAAAGATATTCTGTTTGTCCCTCCTTCCGGGCCATCGACGATGCTGCTAACATCCACGGCGTGTGCGTTGTCCAGGATTTTGACATTGTAGAGCCGTGCTTTTAACCGCGTATCGAGTCGACGCTTTTCAGCCTCAGCAAAGAGCCGATCGTGAATATGTGGATACGCGTCGAAGATTTCTTCGGCATCATTTCTCTCCAAAGATTTCAGTTCGCAAAAGGTGCCTGCGATCACTGTACAAGAGCGCGTGGTATGTCGCAACAGACCAATCTCTCCAAAGAAACTTCCCTGCTTGAGCACGACAAGAAGACCTTCATTATCGGGTGAGATGACTTTGACTTTCCCTCGACTGATGATAACCATGGTGTTAGCCGGGTCGCCCTTGTGGAAAACGACGTCGCCACGCATGTAAAGCTGCGTTTTTAAGCGCATAACGCAAGCAGCAAGACACGAATCAGAGCAGTCTTGGAAGAGAGGGACAGTGGCAATGAGGTTACGATGGATGTACAACGCGATTTCAGAGCGTAAAGCTGGAGACAGGTCTTCGTCGTCGTAGATGGCCTTCTCGTATCGGTCTGAGGTGTTCTTCATGCGCCAGAGTGTTTCGTAGTAATTTCTAGCACTTTTTCGAAGCTCGCTGGGGACGTGAAGCGCTTTCAGGTCGCTCATAACCATCCGAACTTTTTCTTGGTATTGCAGTGCACGCGAACTGGAGCCGATCACTCCAGCTGTAATGCTTGCAAGTGTCAAGCATTGAAATAAAAATCCAACAACGCCGAGAAGAGCACTCACGAACTGCCACTTGGGCTCCACTGTAGCTGCGGAGATATTGAGCATCAGAAGCACCGCTGAATAAAGTGCCTCGTTGTACGCAAGCTGGTCGTCTTCCACGTCAGTCAATCCCAACATGGGCCCAGCCCAGAGACAAGCGACCCAGTGAATGAAGGAAATATAACATGCAAATACTTGGACAGCGTACGCGAATTTCATGTACTTCCTACGAAATCAAGAGTAAGTCAATTCGGAGATGCAAGAGTGAGAGATTTTATAACTTACTGAACGAATTTGATGAGCCGAGTGACACGAAATAGTTTCTACGTGACATGAGCAAGTAAGATGTTTGTTCAAAAGTCAAAGTTCACATGTAGATTTGTTGACTGTACCGGGACTTTCATATATTTTATGGAAGCTTTGAAAGCTTTGCGTTCAACACTGGTGATGCCGTTCGTGTTAAAACTCACGATGTATTCGACTGGGATCGAGCCGATAAGATCCACAATAAACCAGGTCTATCAAGCCACGCAACCCAAAGCAGAGGTCAGTCCTTGGTCCAAACTCCTAAGCAAATCGACTGAATACTCACTTTGATGTAGTGTCTTGCAACCATTCGGCTGTCCATGATGACCTCCGTGTCTTCTATGTATCCTGTTCTGCAAACATCCCCTGGGTTAGTATACAACTATGCAATTATCTAGCGATAGACTGTATGTACCGGAAGTTTAGAACAACATCAAGCAGATAGATTGCATCGGTGATCTTGTTGAAGGCGAACCAATACCAGAGATCGCTGTCTCCAAACGCAATCGTGTATGGAACACGCCAGATGAGCAGGATTGTCGTGATGGCGAGAAGAAGGTCCCAGCAGTATCGAAAAAGCGAATCAGGCAGTAACATATACTTGTACGAGATATTTGATCGAGCAAGACGAACTAGGCGCTCCTGCTCCGCCACTTTTAGTGATACTCGGTTGGACGCCGGTACAACCTCAGCACGGGCTCCACGCCACACCCGTCCGGTTTTTCCCACATGATGATCTTCATGAGGATACGCTTGTCCAGCAACATCACGAGACTTGGCAACATCTTTAACTACGTTCCACATGCTATGTCGGACACGTCCGCACTCCGGTGACACCAACTCGAAGCACAAGTGGTGAGTCGTTTGCTCCGAAAATGGCCAAATTCGTCAAAACCAACTTGAAAAAAAGTAGCGGGAGCTATTTTCAAAACGGTTGCGTTAAACTACTAGGCGCTTCGTGAATTGCAGACGTGTATAAATGTTGCTAAGGACTTTTCTACAAGCTGGCAAGCGCGTACATCTGCTCGATTTCCTGGCTGTACTTCTTCTCCACCACTGCTCGCTTCACCTTCATTGTGGGGGTTAGTTCATTGCCGTCGAGGGAGAAGTCGCGTGGGATGATGAAGAACTTATGCAGTTGCTGAGCCCGCGAAGCAGCCTTCGTGTTGGCTCGAGCCATGCCTTCTTCAATGTGTTCGCGGAACCTCTCACACACCTGAGCTTCCGGAACGGTAGTCGCATTGCTACCGATCTCCTTCGCCACAGCCAAAGCGGTCTTGTCCAGCTTGTCGGTGGGTGCCCCAGTGGCATCAGGCTCCACTCGCAGTGAGCACAGGAACGTCAGAAATTTGCGCTTTTCGCCGATTACCATCACGTTTGCCAACACCGGGAGCTCAGCCTTGAGCGAGTTTTCAATGAGAACAGGGGGTACGTTTTCACCACCTGAAGTGATGATGATCTCCTTGATACGCCCAGTAATGGACAGGAACCCGTCCTTATCGATCTCACCAACATCACCCGAGTACAACCAGCCATCGTCGTCGAGTGTTGCCTTCGTAGCTGCTTCGTCCTTCAGGTAACCCATGAAAATATGACGTCCCGTGTACTGAATCTCACCAGTGTCGGGGTCAATACGCGTCTTCGTACCTTCCATTTCGGGACCGACAGTACCGATCTTCCACTTGTCTGGCGTGTTAATGGAGTGAGGCCCCGTGCACTCGGACTGCCCGAACAGCTCGTATAGAGGAATATTGAGAGTGCTGAAGTAGCGAATGACGTCCGGAGCAATTGGAGCAGCTCCCGTTAAGAACGTGGTGCACTCATCCAGTCCCAGAGCACTACGCACTTTACCCAAGAGCAGATAGTCTGCAGCCCAGAAACTCAAACTCAAGCCTGGAGTCGCTCCATACTGCGATTGGTCTGCGTTCTCAGCACCTTGGACCATTGCCCATGTTAGCAGCGACTTCTTAAGTCCTTCCGGTGCGCCACCGAGCTTCTCTTTGAGTGATTCCATCATTTTCTCCCAAACACGAGGCACTCCGAAGAAGAAGTTTGGACGAACTTCCTGAAGTGTTCCAAGTAAACCGCCACGTAGGGCGTCTGGGCCAGCGAAGTAAACTTCGGATCCGATTGCGAGGGGCAAGTGGATGTCCAAGATTTGGGCTGCAACATGGGAAAGAGGCAGAAAACTTACAGTTCGCTTAGCATCTCCCAGGGCTGGCAGTGTGTTCATGGCTGCCACCACAGTCCACGTCAAGTTGTCGTGGGAAATCATCACTGCTTTCGGAGGACCGGTTGTACCGGAAGTGTAGATGAGAGTGCAGCAGTGACCAGGTAGCTGCGCTGCCATCCTTTCATCCAACAAGCGCGCTTCCACGTTCTCACTCAGACGAAGGAAGTCGCTGAACGAATAGATTGGGACACTATAGTTGGTCTCTTGGGGGACGTCGTCTTCGTTCCACACAACCAGAGCTTTCAGCTTGGGTAGTTGATCTACCACGGACAGATACTTGTCCAGTTGTGCCTTGTCAGACACCACCACTACCTTCGCGTCGCAGTGTGCGGAGATGTATTGACAGGCTTCAGACGTACTGGTAACGTAGACTCCGGCGATCACTGCGCCAGCCATGATGGAACCCATGTTCGTGAACAGCCATTCCGGGCAGTTAGGACCGAGAACGTTCACGGCCTCGTGCGGCTCCACGCCTACGTGGATGAGGGCTCGAGCGAATTTTTGCGAGATATCGTAGTACTGCTTCCAGGTGTGCGTGACCCACTCGTCATCCTTCTTGATGCTCAGTGCTCGTCCGTGCGGTAAGCGAGACACGACGTCTTTGAATGCGTCCAGAACAGTGGTTGGCTCGCGAGCGGCGATGTCGGGTGTGCCACTCGTTGGGGTGTTCACACGCACCGGTGCGAGTTGATCGGTCTTCCAAACTCCCATTGGCTTTGACGGCTTCAGGTGCGTTCGCTGAGTGTCGACAATTGAGAAGTGAAGAACTCAACTCGTAGAGGATGTGGGGCTATCCAAAGGATCGACCGACTCGTGCCGGTATGCTCGTCATACTTAAGTAAGGAGGTAAAGCACTGTTTTTGATTACCGCACCCTGTTGTAAGCAATACACGGTAATCGCACCCGGATTGGAAGTTGTTCAAAAATACTTGAAGAACTGCCACAATCTGGAGGACGTGGCTTTCAAACAACGAAACTCGTCAACAGGAGAGCTGTCATCCAAGCGATGAGGCCAAGCCCGCGTATTATTACAGAACGCGAACTACGCATACGTATATGGATGCAAATTCGGTTTGCCGTATTCAATAATCTATCTATAATACTAGTAGTCATGTTCGTAAAAGCTGACTTACAAATGTCAAGTAACTCAGATTGTGATACTAGTCACTCTTTTATCTGGCTACATTCCTGTTTCTTGCCCCGCCAACTTTGTATGGGTCATGATGACGGCGGTTTACCGTTCTTACTTGATTATGCGGAAAGTGGTGGGTGTGTGCTCTTGATCAAGTCTTGAAGTCTGTATTGGACTAGGCCGGGACAAATCTTGTTGACGCCTAGGCACTCCTGAAAGCTTTGCGCTTTGCTCCTTTGCCGTGTTTGCGATTTGAGATGTCCGTTTGCAATCGAAGGGTGGATACACGAGCATTTGCCTGTAGCCAATGCAGGTCAACTTATACCAATGTCGCTATGCATTTTGGTGGACGTAATCACGGTTCTCTCGCTCAAGTAAAATTGTTCTCGATAATTAAGCTTTTGACAACTGTAGCCTTCAGTACACCGTTAATCAAAATGCAGTCATCCTAGATGATGAAAGGTGGCCTCCTATTTTGTTTTAAGTATTATTTTCCTATAGAAGCCTCATATGCATGAAGACGCTAGACGATGTCTTGTGTCTTTCTGTGAAAATATGTAACACCCATTGGACTCTGAGGTTCCGTCTTTGTAATGAAATTCCGTATGACGGTGGGTACTTGACAATTCATATCAAAGATCTTGTTATCGTTGCGTGAAGATAAAAACTTAGCCGCTTTGAGCCGCGATGTTGCGAGCTTTTCCCATAAAGTCGCAAATACGTTATTGAGCAGTTGCTGTAGGTCTTCAAGATGCGTTCTATGTTGTTCGTGTGGTGCTTCTTGGCTACGTCGTTTCTGCAATATGCAGTCATCGTTGATGAGACTACATGTAGTTGGTCTTCTAAGTTTAGACGCTTCGAAACTTTACAGTCAACGAAGACCAGGTTTACTCTTGGGCTTTGTTGTCGGCGCCGAACTAGGTTTACCATTGCCCTTGGTTGTTGGTGTCGATGTTGGGGAGCTTGTCGGTGCACCGTCGTTGGAGTCACAGTAGCACTCAACAGACACGGGTAGTCCGGATCAGTACTTTTGGCGAGGCGATCGTAGGTGAACAACCCAAAATGTTTCTCCAGCTCCACGCCCATCGAGTTATCATCGGGTCGACGATCGAAGAAGGAAAACCAAAACTTCAGCGACGCTGATGAGGCACTCGCAGCAGTTGAAGGCACCCAGTTAGCCACAGCTTTGTAAAAGTGAACCGATTCGGTGAGCGATGGCGATACGCCAGACACTGTCGAAGGGGATCCATCCGTGGGAAACCCGGTCTCTGACAGTACCATTTTGCTTGAAGGGAACTTTTGAGCCATAGAGTTCCAAGCTCCGTCTAGAATCGCTGTCGGGACGCTGGAATTGTACGCTGAGTCGAAGAACGGGTAGATCGTCACGCCCAGGATGTCGAGGTTAGCCTCCAATCTTGCAGTCTCGTCGGCGTACGCAGAGCTCAAGTACTCGGTGATTCGCTGGACCGTACCAAATTTGACAGTAGCTGCCAATTGAGCACCCAAGCGCGATTTAATCGTAGACACGATGCTGAGAATATCTGCCGCTTTCACGCCATTCATCAGGTTTTCGTTGCCCACGAGAATTGCTTCAACTGTACCCGGGTAGTTCTGCACGGCGGCTACTGCGTTGTCAATTTCAGCCGATTGCCACGACTCGCTTGTCATGAATATGCCCAGATGCAGCTTCACGTTGTTCTTGGCCGCGTATTTAGCCACAGACACGCCGTAATACTGCGCGTAGTAGGTGCGAGCGTGCGTGAAGTACTTCGAAATCATAGCAAGATCAGTGTCGATCGATGCTGCCAGTTTGCTTTGGTCGAGCACCTCGCTGCCTAGTGGGTAGTCCAGTGAGTGCATCGGGCTGTATGCCGTCGCCATGTTGACGTACGCGGCAGATGCAGATAAGAAGTTCCCAGTCATTGCTGCAGTAACAACCGCGAGGAATGCTTTCACTGCGACCATCGACTTCTTACAGTGTAGAGTGAATGTGAGCTGCATGCACAGTCATGCACGAAAAGCGTAGAAAGTCTCTAGGCTTAGGAAAGGCTGAAAGCGTTACAGCACGTTGTGTTGTATGTGGTGATTTCAGTCAAGTTTGTGTATTCGTGACAAGAGTACAGTCAGCAAACTACATAAGCGTACGTGTACGACGCTACACCGCTGTGCCGGGGTCCGCGATCTTACCCTTGTAAAGCTCAATCAGCTTGTCCCCAACCTGCTTTACTTCATCGGCGTCACGGCCTTCCACTGTCAGGCGTGTGTTAAAGCTTGCGTCGCGCGTTCCGGTTTTTTCCTCCGTCAGGTTCACGTAGCTGCCCAGAATGACGTTCGGATGCTCATTTTGTACCTTCTTAAGAGAGCCTGCGAGTGCACCTTCGTACTCGAGAGTGTTCACCTGCAGCAGGAGTTCCTGTTAGCTCTTATACATCTTCGATAATCAATGAAGCAAACAAACGTACAATCACGCGGTGGATGGGAACACCGACAAAGTGTTCTTCGTTAATAGTCAGCATGTTCTTGACCATGGATGGAATTCCCGGCAAGATATACACATTGTGCACAACGGCAATCGGAGTCCATCCAGACGATGGAAGCAGCTTGCAGCCCACTGGCAGAATCGCCATACGCTTGACACTATCGTCGAACGGAATGGTGGGGTATTTTTCCTCTGCAAACTTCTTCATCGCAGCAAACGTTGGCTCGTGGAGCTCAATCCCAACTCCGAATGCTTTCGCCTAACATCAGCAACAAACATGAGAATACTAACTCACTGAAACACATGAAGATTTTTCCGTACGATACTCTCGTAGGTGATGTCGTCGTGGGTGGGTCCGATGCCTCCCGTTGTGAAGACGTAGCCACTGGGACCCACGAAATCCGACAGCTCCTTGACTGTCTTGATGATAGCGTCCTCCTCGTCGGGTATGACGACGACGCGCTTGAGATCGACACCTCGACGGAACATGAGCTTGGCGATGAAGTTGGAATTGGTGTCGAGTGTCTGAGAAGCAGTAGACGTTAGCGCAAGAAAGGCAAAGAGATCTCGCAAGCATCCGTCACGGTACCTTTCCAGTGAGAACTTCATTGGCAATGACGCAGACGGCAGCGCGTGGGGCAGATACGGGGGCGGTTGAAGTCATGGAGCGAGCAAAGAGGGATGAGGTGCTGCGAGAAGATCGAAGAATGCTGTGCCGCAGATGCCACATGAAGGCTGAAAGGGAAGTGACGGTATTTTACACATCGTTTCGACTCTAAAAAGCGATTTTACGGGACACTTGGGGTATTGATTAGCGTGTCAACACTATGGTTGAATTACCTGTGATACATTATATACATGTTAAATACAATACCGTGTTGCGTTCAGAGAGCTGTCTTGCATGGTATGGTTGATAAATCATCAATGTTGATGAATCATCACTGTCGATGAACCATGAGTTGAATGCATACCGGCGCCAATCGAGAACAAAAGCTTGTTGTCCGTGCTAGTGTTCCCAGAATCCATCTACCGTAAGCAAAAATCTGACCGTGTCTGTCCGATACGGTGTCACGCGACAAGTTAAGAGGGGGACTTTGAAACACGTCAACAAGTTCGTCATGAGCCCAGCCAGTTCCCTAGAGCTCTCTCTATTATCTCTTAGCTTCTCCGCGCTTGCTCAAAATGTAACCAGCACTTCCACCAGCGATACTGCCAGTGGTATTCGTCATTGCACCGACAAGGACCGAAGGCACAGAGATTTACCAGCATCATGCTGTCAACATGTATCCAAATGTCGACCACCGAGAAGTTATACTAGAGATGCAATTTACAAAACAAATTACTAATCTGACCAGGAGGGATGACGTTCCCAACTCCGAGCCAAACCCGGTTGTCGCCCCTCCTGACCTCAATCCCCTTGAAAGCGTTCCGCCCACAGCGCATCTTGCCTCTTCCACGTTTCGATCCCCCGACGTCTCCAGGATGAGCGCACGCAGCGACAGCGGCCACAGCCGCAACAGCAGCACGGCGAGCAGCGGTCTTGCGCCACCACCTCCAGGCAGCGCCCCCATGCCTCCCAACCCCAGCGCAGGTGGGTTCACCCGACAATCCTCCAGCGTTCCCTATATGGAGGGGAAATCATGCCACTAACCCGCATTTGTGACGTAAATCCTCTCGTTCCAGGCCGCTTTTCGCTGCTTGATCAGGTCTCCCCCGAGGTGACGCAGAGCAATCCGCTGCATCAATTGCTCCAGCATCAGCAGCAGCTTCCTCCTGTGCCTCCTCCTCAGCCCATGAGCAGTCCGAACCAGTTCCTACAGCAGTTTCTGGCCTCATCCTCGAGCTCCATGCCAGTGACTAGCAACCACATGCGTCCCATGCCTCCCATGAGCGCTCCGAGCTCGATGTTGCCTCAGTTCCAGCAGAATCTACCAATTCACATGGCCTACATACCGCCCCGATCAACTCCGTTCTCCTCTTCCTTCTCCCAGTTCCAGCCAGTACCCAGTCTCTCTTCCACCGGTGGAGGAGTGTATCCTTCTGCTCCACGCAGTGCCACTACAGTCTCTGTGGATGGCAGTCGCAGCAACGGAGCAGGTGGATCCGCCTCCAGCTCATTGACAGGCTCCCCTAGACGAGCAGGTACCGCAGGATTCGGCGCTGCTGACGCCCCCACGTCACCTCCAGGAGTGAGACTCAGTGGAGAGAACATAGAATACCAGCCACGTGGAGAAAGCGGCGACAGCAGGTCTCTAGAAGTCATGCCGATCACGCTCTACAACTCGGAACGGACCTCACAACTGGGAAACTTGATCTCAGTGAACGAGCACTTTATTTCGTACCCGATTAGGAACGGATTGATCCGTGTGATCAGCCAGAGTTCAGTGGACAGGTTGTTGCTCCGGAAACACGAGCACCACGCGGTCACGGAGCTGGCGTTCTTTAACAGCAAGTCGGATTTATTGTTAAGTTCCGGAACGGACCACCATATTGCCATTTGGGCCATCCAGAACGACCCGATGAGTCGTGAGCTGATCAAATTGGTGCCTACACAGGCTCAGCGTGTGAAGTGGCACCCGTCAGACTCGAACAAGATCGCTATTGCCAGTGGCAGTGTGGTGTTGATTGCGGACTTGTCGGACGTGGATGCTGACGGCACAGGCGCCGAGAACTTGTACGACATCAGTGTTGTGTGCGGCCAGACGTCTGGTCAGATCAATGACATGGCGTTCTCGCCTGGTAATGGCGAGTGCGTTGTGACGGCTGGCAGTGATGGCTTTGTGCAAGTGTATCGCGTGCAGGACCGACTTCCAGGTCAACCAGCCGAGTTTATCCAGCGCTTCGAGCCGTTCAGCGGTGAAGCTGTCAACAGTCTGCACTTCTATGGAGGCAACTTCTTGAACCAGCCTGGTCTTCTGATCAGTGGTGAGGCCAACACCAAGTTATCGTTGTGGAATGCGGCGCTGACGGAGAATACGCCTCCTGTGTGCTACCAGACGGTGACGCTGCGTGACGAGACCAGGGGAGACTCGTCGCTGTTCCACGAGACGATACTGGACCCGACAACGCAATTCCTGTTCGTGGCCGACCGATCTAAGCCAGTGGTGTACGCTTTCCATCTGGCCCCCAGCTCGGACGCCCGCACACCACGACGCTTCGATAATGTCACTGAGTTCGCGCTAGCTTATCCAGTGCTGAGCATGGGCTTGCTGAACCGTTCGAGTCAAAGCCAGCCCGCACGAGATGGCAGTGATGTGACCTCAGCTCTAGGTGGCCTTAACTTCACTATGCAGCTCTACTGTCTGCAGACGCAAGCTATTCAGCGGTATCACGTGGGCGCTAGGGAATGCTACATGCCTGGTGTGCGCGGATCGCTAGAAGACGAAGTCGAGACTGGCGAGAACGTCGGACAAACGGTCGGTGCGGTGACGACTGAAGGAGAATACCAGACCACAGCCGAGTCTCCACGTGCCGCGCCTGCGATCTCTGCTCCTGAGACTGAAATTGATGCTCAAGCCCCTGAAGAAGAAGACGAAGAAGAGAGTAGCAATACTGATCAACATGTCCCTCTTCGCTCTGGTCCCAACGGCCTTCCGCGAACTCCGTCGTCGCCAGGTGGTCGGAGTACGCGAAGCACCCGTAGCACTGGTGCTCGGTCGCTGCATCTAGCTACTGGTGACGATGCAGCCTCAGTCTCAGCGTCGTCGGTGACTGGTGACGATGGGATGCTGCCTAACTTGCGCTTCTACAACCGCTCCTCTCCGTCCTCCTCCGTTCGTGCTTTCCAAGATGAAGCGTCAGTGCAGTACGACCCGTCCATCGACGACACGGCAAGCGAAACGCAACAGCAGACGCTTCTTGCTTCGCTTCGCCGTATGGAGGCGGCTCAGCTCCAACGCGATGAAGAGCTCCGTGAACAAATGCGTGTAGTTATGGGCACTCTGGGCAACCACCTGACAGCGCAAGTGTCGACTCAAGTGGAGAAGTCCATCCAGAAACAGCTGCAGTCAGTGCTGGTGCCAGCTATGGGACGTATTGTGTTGCACACGATGGAGAACAACTTTATGAAGCCTGTGCAGAATGGATTCCAGCATGTGATTAGTGAGAAACTGATCCCATTGATGGAGCAGAAGCTGGATGATTCCCTGGCAACCACGCTACCTGACCAACTTGCAAATGGCGTCGATGATATGGTACAGCGCGTAGTGGAAGATGTTCGTCAGCCCGTGCGCGAGTCGTTCCGTGAATGTTTCCAGGACATCTTGATCCCGTCTTTCCAGGCTGCTACCCAGAAGATGTTTGAGCAGATTAACGACACGTTTGTGCAGGGTACACGGAGTGCATTCGAGAGCAGTGGACAAAGCACCAGCAACGCGAAGGTCGCAAGTCAGTTGGAGCAGCTAACGAAGGTGGTGGAAAGCTTGTCCCGGCAGGTGGAGGAACTGAGCTCAGCTGTTAATGCTGGAGCTGTAGGTGGAGCAATAGTCCCCGCTGCCAAGTCTGCGGAGGAGATTCAGCTGGAGGCTCAGAAGAACACTGTGCTGGACTGTCTGTCACGTAACGATTGGGAAGAAGCGTTTAAGTTCGCACTTGGTGCTCAAAACGTCAACCTTGTGGCGTTCACGTGTCAGCAGTGCGATCCTCGACTTGTTCTCAGTAGCCGGCCGCCCAAGCTCTCGCAGATGCTGATTTTGTGCCTGGTTCAGCAATTGGGTGCTGACCTGGTTGATGATCTAGAGACGAAGCTGAACTGGCTGCGTGAGTCGCTCCTAGTGATGGACGTGCGTGATCAAACGATCGCGGGTTTTGTGACGAGTGTTCTCCAGGAATTGCAGACAGGACTCAACAGCGTGCCGATGGAGCTCCGTGACTCGCAGTACACACTGCTGCACCACGTACTTAACTCGATGCTCAGCTCGGCGTAAGGTAGAAAATGTCAAAACAAAATACAACATTTGTCTCGGGTTACGTAAATTTTCAGGTTCTAAGATCAGATATTCACAAAGACGTGAGCATTTAATTGTCGGAAGAAACCATGAGCTCGCCATCGAAGAGACTCGCGAGTTCGTCGCTAACTTCCTTGACTTCAGCTCCGTTGCGTCCTTCAATTGAAAGGCGCGTGTTGAAGCTCGTGTCTCGCACTCCTGTCTCGTCCTTCGTTAGGTTGATGTAGCTGCCGATCGCGATGTTCGGGTGTGCGTTCTGCACCACTGTCAACTGAGTCGCAATGTCACCTTCCAACCTCATGGTTTTAACCTGTGGAGCAGCAGAAAGTGGGTTTTACACACTGCGTAACTGAAGTTTCAGATGCTATGTAGTACTTACGATTGCGCGGAAGATGGGTACACCAACGAAGTGATCTTCGTTCGACGTGAGCATCGAGCGCACCATCGACGGGATGCCAGGTAAAATATACACGTTCTCGACAACAGCGATAGGCGTCCAGAACTCCGTCGTCAACGTCTGGCATCCAGCAGGCAGCATCGCCATCCTCTTACGTCCCTCCGTCATTTCTCCTCCACGGTTCGCCATAGCATCTTCCAGTCCTTTAAGTGTAGCTGTATGATACTCAACACCACGATCAAAAGCCTTTGCCTATCACAAATACAGCAATAACAATGAAAAGATTATCTACCAGGATAACAATCATTTGAAGCAAAGCTGACGTACCACACTCTCGTAGGTGATGTCGTCGTGGGTAGGTCCGATGCCTCCCGTCGTGAACACGTAGCCACTGGGGCCCACCATTTGCGACAAATCTCTCACCGTCGACACGATTGTCTCCTCCTCATCGGGGATCACCACGACGCGCTTGAGGTCGATGCCCCGACGGAACATGAACTTGGAGATCCAGTGCGAGTTGGTATCCAGCGTCTACAGATAAAAGGTAAACAGATATTTAAGAAGAAGCAGTAAAGGGACTCTAGAAAGACTGAATAAAATGATTCGTTTGCTGGACCTTTCCGGTGAGGACTTCATTGCCGATAACGCAGACGGCGGCGCGCGGGGCGGGCATGAGGGTCGACATGGGGCACCGGGAGCAAGCGCTTGGCTGCTTGGATCTGCGGCTTCGATGGAGCAGACGATGTCGTTCAGCTAGTCGAACGCGCCACATTTCGATGACCAGCAGCGAAAAAAGTATGATAGAAACCTGTAGTTTCTAAAAGGAAAAAAGTTTTTTGAAATTAAAGGAAAAGTATAGATAAATGGAATTCGTCGTGCAACTTGCACGTCGAATATATTATGCTGTTTGGTAGTATATTCTGATTTAATTTTAAGGGTCACTTACACTTACAAGTCGTAGCGATGGAAGTTCTTGATGCTCGTGTGGAGGAGGTCCTTGGAAATACTACTGCTGGTGCGACAAAGTACGTGTATCTCCGAGCTCTTACTCGTTTTATCAAGTGGCTTTACGAGACATCAGATGAGGACCGCCGCCAGTCACTTTTCGCGATCTCGTTTTGTGATATCGAGACGATTGATGCAGACACAATTGCGGAGTGGTTTGCCACGTCTCCTGTAGTGAGTCCAATAGACTGAAGTACGCTAACAACGCAAAAGTGCATGCGCTACCTCACTTCGATGGAACAACGTGGTGTGACTGGGAAGTCTACCTTTGGCATTGTTCGATCGGCTATTGTTTATCTTTACAACACAACAGGCAATTCTCGGCCCAGTGGTTTCGATGCCCAGATGAAGCGATTTTTTAAGGGCCTTCACCATACTGTGACCCAAGTAGCCCAGGAACGAAATGCCCGATTGCGAGAGGGTAAAGAACCTTTCTCGTTCTCAATGTACAGATCTGTTGCGAAAACAATGCTGAATTCGACCAAAAAAGCAGCATATCTTTGGTCATTCTTTTCTCATAATATGCTGGAATCTGATGTGTCGCGCAAAAAGTGCCGAGTCGATACGACATGCAAATCTATCTTGGTGCGAAGATTCTATTACAATTACATTTGCTCATATGAAGAATGACCAGGACGGTAGTCGACCGCGAGATCCCAGGCACGTGTATGCCAACCCCACCATACCTGATATTTGTCCCGTGTTAGCACTTGGAATTTATTTTTCAGTTTTTGGATTTGACGGAGACGGCAAACTATTTCCCGGTGGCAATCAGTACAGCCGCTTCTTAAGTATTCTAAAGAAAAACCTGGAATGTGATGTCATGAAGAGCATTTTGGTTCAGTTTGATTTGACATCAGATGATTTTGGGACTCATTCAGCTAGGAAAGGTGCCGCAACTTACGTGAGCAGTTGCTCTACGTCTGGACCGTCGGCTGCGGCTATCTGTCTAAGGGCTGGTTGGACACTTCCGGGAGTTCAAAACAAGTATGTAAGATTCGAGGCAGCAGGAGACATGATTGTCGGTCGCTATGTAGCTGGACTTCCTTTCGATTCTCCTAAGTTTGCTACTTTGCCGCCATTTTTTGCCCCTCTTACAAACCAGACTGACGAACAATGTGAGTTGGAGCAGCGCCTCCGTATTACTATGGACGTAGTATTTCCTGGTGTACCACCAAGTTTAAGGATGATTTGCCAATTCGGCCTAGCCTCGTTATTGTACCACAGTTCCTACTTGCGGGCTCAGTTGCCTCCAAATCATTTATTATTTATGACACCTTTGTTTTCAACATCCGCTCAAAATCAACTTGGCTGGTTGCGTCAGCGCGTATTCTACCGGAATTATCAAGAAAATGATCCCATCACACAATCTGGTATTCCACCTCATGTCGGAATTATGGTCACCTTAGCTCAGTATAAGGCAGAAGTTGACAAAATCCACCAAAGTATGGCGGAAACTATTGAACGCATAATTCAACGGCACATACATGGATCCATAATGACACTGGAGGCTTTGGAATCGGCGTTCGAAGCCGTTCTTGCGCGTTCAGCGCTCTCAGTCATGAATGAAGTCGCCCCGGCTACAGCGGTTGCGCAAGTCCCTGCTACTGGTACCAGCTTGGTGACCCCACAATGTGAACTCTACATGTGGGCTGGCAGTTTCCATCGCGTCCCGAGAGATTTTACGCTCCCTTCTGGAACGCTTCGTATAGCGTGGCAGCACTGGTGCGCAGGACAGCCACCTCTGCGGGTTTTGTTAAAGCACGACATGTCCAGTAGAACAATGGAAGTTCGCCTAGCTGAGCTTCAAAGGTTGATGAAGCATGTCGAGTCGTTACTATCTAACGACGAAATTCACCGAGCCTACAGCTCTTTGGACTCGGCTGGAATTCTCTTTACCCAGGTTGTTAACCGTCTTCCTTTCTCTTCATCGTCGAGCAAAGGTAGGGGAAGAAGGTTGGACCAGCTATCGTGGAAGACGCTAGCTAGAGAACTGAGAAGCCAAAATACCCGATAAATAGTATTGACAATGCTACTACTTAATCAAAGAGGCCCAAATTGTTATTATTTTTTTCCTTTCAAAAACAAAACAAAATACGCGTAGTGCAGTTTGCACGAAGATATCTGCTATAATTTTCATTATAGCGAATTTACTTGGTCTTTGTAAAGTTGGAATATTTGCATTCAGGGAATTCACCGTGCACACTGCACGACGATTGACATACAAATCGGTATATTTGAACGGCGAATTCTTGAAAAGTGTTTTTTTCTACACTTTTCTTTTATTTAGTTATCGACAGTTCATGTTTTGGCATCTTGTAAATATTCATATTTGTTTAAAAACATGTACACTGACAAATAACGGATCCTTTTTGTGGACCCGTTATTTAACGTTATATACATCTAAAAGAAAGACACCGGAATGGAAACTTTATATCCTAAATTATCATACTATCAGGCTAATACTACATGTATGGAGCATACCAGAGACATTATTGCAGCCCATGCGTTTAACCATATACCGTAAACCACGAGCTCAGTGCGACACTGGTAGAAAGTTTAGTTGTTAATAAAATTCACAATCCTAGGAAAAATATTTACATAGTAAAAAGTAAGACGAGATGGTCCACTGGAAGGAGTGCGTTCCCGTCACAATGACTTCCTGGCACTAATTTTACTTATTTTCGCGCGCCAATCATACCGAGAAGGCCCAAAAACAGGAATCGGAAGAAGATTTTGGTATGGAAACACTGCATACAATTCGATTTTAACCCTTTCGCGAACGGGTACTTTTGACCTGGCTATATTATAGTATAGAAGGTCAAGTCATTAGGCCATCAAAGGGGGCATTTTGCCCCCTTTCATAAACTACGGTACTACAGCAAATATTCTGCAAATCCTTGTAGTTCAAGTAGAAAAGGCGAATCCAACACACAAAAATAATGAAAGGGGCATTTTTCCTCCATTTGTGGGTGACACGAGCGGTACTCAAGGATACGCCCTCCAAAGGGTTGATATTTATTAACATCGTCTACTTACACAGGCACTCGAGCTGTTGGACGAGGCTGGATCTGCCACGGCAGCGGCAAAAGCGTTATCTGTCCATCGGTCGTCGCTGTATCGATGGAAGAATAGCCGCAAAGCCCTAGAAGATGCAGCTCAGAAGGCGCCTAACAGGTGCTACGTCAACCCATCAACTCGTTCTTCTCTTGGTATTCGCCATCCTGCTTTAGAGGCAAGGTACGCTTCTTTATTATTTTTATTTACTGTTCCTAAACGTTTTTATTTTTTGTATAGACTGCTAAAATAGATCATGTCAGCGGTCGTTTTCGCGTCCCCGCAGCTGACAGCACCGAAGCTCCGGTTGTATGCGATGAAAAGTAGGTAGTCAACGTGTAAATGCAATTTTCGTTTTACGATGATTTAAATGTTTTTTTCGTTGGAAGGGGCGTCACCCCTACAAATTTGAAAAATGATGAACTTTTTATTTCAACGGTTTGTCGTTTTACGAGTTGTTGCATTGATGCCGTGCGTCTCACTAAGCCCGTGGTTTACGGTAATCTTCTTAATTACCCTCCTTTATCGATTTTTTCTATTGATCAAAACAGAAAGAATAAATCGATGGACAACAACAAAAGAGCGGTCAGAGAGATCCGGAGGGTATATGAAGCATTCTAACACTTGTGAATGGCGGCATACGCGAATGCGATGGAGTAAGAACCGGCGCAAAACAATTATCAAGATAGTGGGTAAGCACTATAACTAATGGCTTTTGTTGCAGTATTTTGTCATAACCTATTTTCCATTGTCAGCTTATGTGAGGTGTAAAGTGAGGGATATTTTTGGTTAAATTGAGTAAGTTGTACTGGATACCTCTGGTCGTGATCCGATGCACAAATTATTTTAAAAGGAAGCCTGCGTCAGTAGAATGCTTAAATAAGACTATTATTAACACATTTAAATTTTAAAAAAAATGTTTAAGAAATATGTCATAAATAAACTCTTTAATTATCGCTAATGTTATTGTAAGATCCGCTTTGTTTGTCTTATTGAATAACAAGTCCGGTCATTTAGACTGCAAATAGAATTAGACGCACCTATTTATTTATAAATTCGACTTCTCGGTGGTGATTTAGTTACTTTCAGTCATATTTATAATGCTACTAATGCACTAAGATTAATTTATAAATCGGTGCAGAGACAGTTTTATATCTATATCGGGCCGAATGTCTGATGCTTTGACGGCATTCTGAGGCCACCACATCGTAATAGCAACTCCTCACTTGAAGACACAATGACTAAAACTAGAGTTTCCATCAAAGTCGGCTTCATCACCAAGACAAGTCACACCAACGCCACCATCGAAAGACCAACATTCACGATCGACGAGAGTATAGACTCATTTGATATGTTGCAAGTCGAGGTAGAGAAGCTTGCTGCACCTGCACTACAAAGTTTAAGGTGAAGACTACAAGAGGAGATGAGACAATAAACTTGAAGCCAAGCCTCGGTGCATAAAAGAGCGAATAGGCTGGTCTATCTGCTACTAACTGGAAAAACTACGTTAATGTTGCTAGATCCAACTTTAACAAGCGCAAAAAAAAAAAAACCACTGGGATTTTCATCATCGACATGATCGTGTTTGCTGCAATAAAAGCTTCTGTACAAGGCTCTGGATTCCGGAGAGCGACCTCAAGTCGTCTTCAAGAGGCAGCAAGCACTATTGATAGGTACTTGCTAGAGCGTAGCAATATTCAAGTTGGCCCAATTGCCCGTTCCTACTGGGATATCACCCATGCGAGACAGCCGGGTGGTACGGAGCCGTCACAACCAACAAGCGCTACATTCAGACAGATGCAGCATTTAGACTCAAAGCTGTCTGAGCCTCAGTCGACTGGTGCGGAGCCTGAATTCCGAGTTGTCACGGCACGCATCAACGGGTCCTCTAACCTCCAACTATCTGCCAATGTGCAGGAGATTCGAGCGCTCGTTGGAGTACCACAACATAATATGTTGTTGGAAGGTCTCCTTTCTTCATTCCAAACTGCAAATGAACCCAGCGATGATATAAACGATCGCGATTACATGAGTGAAAAATTCAGGGTAAAATACACACGCTCACTTTTTTCTCTCTCGCTACGCTCGAATTCTTCCCAACCACCCCTCCACCACCTCCCTTCCGCCTCCCCACGATCATTCTTATTGTAGATCTTCTAAATCTTGCTGGAACACCGAGTTGTTTCAGCCGCCATCACCGTAGCCGCAATGACAGAATAATGATACTCCACTGTAGTTATCCTCTCGAAGACACCGTGGCATAGCAACCTCCAGTACCTGTTCAGGGTACAAGCTAAACACAAGATTAGCATGCAGACATAGCCATCGCTTCAGTTGCCCGAACACCACCTCAGTAAGATTGAACTGAGAGCAGAACGGAGGCAAAAACAACCGGACTGCTCATCATTTCCCCCATGGGCTTCTACGCCTGCGGTCGACCGTACACGGCGTCCGGCACCGAAAGCGTGTTTTCTTGTCGAGTATAATCACGGGGCTGCGGACTGACGTCAGCATGAACTGCACGCAAAATGATGACACCTACCAGCATAGTAAATGCAATGCCCACTACCATGCGCAACGATTCACCAAT